TTTTGTAAACACTAAATTTCTAAAACCTGACACTACACCCTTGTATGCCCTCTGGGTTGGGGCCCTTTGAACTGATTTGCACCCAACTTCACATAAACCATCCTTGAATAATTCTTAATAATGCCTGAAATTTTCATTACAATCTATAGAGCGGTTTCAGAATCAATTCAGACAAATGGAAACTCGCTTAGTCGGCAGGTTTGCTGCGGCGGGTGTGTTATAGATATACATTACAGATCCAAATACAGAATCCGGCTTACCATTGCACTAACACAATGTTCAGTTTGAGTACAGTAAAACGCCAATATAAAAATTATGAAAATCGTACCATGACATAATAATGTTGTTTTGGCATAACCTTGTCATACTACAACTTTTGATCAAAATCTTAATGTATAAAGTTTAATGTTTATTAGGAATAAAATTATATTCATACATGGAAACAATTACGAAGGTGTAAAGTCCACGCTGTTGCAGAGGTGAGCTAATCCTTTAGAGACGAGGGTTAACTTGTGGTCATTAGAGCACGTCAATCTCTGGAGTTGGACTGACGCGATTCTCACTTCCCCTGAAATTTCAGAGATGAATTATTAAAATGCAACTCCGATTGTATTTTCGCCTCAAGGTTCCGTACACATTCTATTGTGGGTCATGTGGTATTATAAAGGTATTATAGACAACAACAACAACAAAAAATTACAAAACTTATCTGTAAACTTTTATTTAGTGTGTATACAATGTATACCTTTTATACATTGTTCGTAATATATTTATGTTATGTGAATAAAGCTGAATATTAGGAACCATATTGTACCTAAATAGCTAAATCATATTTATATATGTATATATATAATTTAACAAACTCTTATGAACCTCTTGATTTTAATCTAAATGTAATTTTACAGACTGTAATAACACTCGAGGTTGTTTCTAGAGAGAAATATTTTACTACAAACAGAATATTTCATTGTTCATTCATGGCCAGAACAATACGCTGCAAGACATGTGGAAAATAAACAGTTGTACTTTTTTCCCTTATTAAAAGCTCGAGTTCACATTAAAACTGTTATTTACGTTTTGTTTCTCAATAATATATTTAGTTTGGTAGGTTGTACGGAATTGTAATCTTAGGGGGAATATAACTAAACTAAATAATGCTAACTAAATAAATTTATTTTTGAACAGTTATTAGGATTTTTCTATTTGTGTTTTCTAGTTAAATGTCTTTAATAATATTTCGCAAAAACTCATCGAATTTATTCTACACGAATCATTCTCATGGGAATGTGTACTCTTTTCTCATTCTTTAATAAACCTTTTTTGTACTCAACCCGTACGTTCCTTCAATTTCTGTACCAACTTATTTTATCTGATGGGCAGTGACTTTTCATTGCCTATACAACACTGTGCTAGACATGGAAATATGAAAGTTGTAGCAGTAAAGACTTGTCGTAAATACCCCTATTTGACAATGTCCGTCTAGTGAAAAATCTTCTGCTATATAAATAAAAGAAAATACCAACACGTTTCCAAGGCTGTGACAATAAAATTAAAGACACTAACGCTGATATTTTAAAGCCATATTTTAAACGCTTTGTTTGTAAATAGTAACACGAGCAACGGTCAACGGTCTTAGAACTAAATTTTAAAATAAATACCCTAACAATATTTTTATTTCCTGAGGCTTTTCGCCAGCTATGCTTGCATCGTCAGACACATCACAAAAACTGGAATTTAAAAAAATAATTACACTATTGTTAAAATAATAATTACAAAAATATTGGTAAAGTATTCATTTAAAAATTTATTTCTTAGTCCTCTATAAGTTTTATGTTGGATTGTGAACCTGCGTTTTCCTGTCTGATAGGAAGTATCTTATAGAATGACAAACTCTTAAAATTATGCCAAGCAAACACCAATTCGTATAAAAGTAAAGTGATCCTATTGTAGTGTCCCTAGTTGGGTTACTTTTTTTTTGAATGCCCGACAGATGTGCTGGTATTCCTCCAAATGCCAATTGTATTCATACGACTATGTTGTAATGCTACAAATCTTTGTAACGTAATCGTGTAATTCAGTGGTTTTTGAGCTCTTGTGCTGTTGAAGACTCCTGTTTAGGAATCCTGGTTGAGGCTTCTGTAATGATGTAGTTACAATATATAGAATACATACACAACGCCAAAATATCATTTCAGGTTAAGTAAAACATAACAATACATCCAATTATAATTGCTTCATAGCAGAAACCACAACAATAGCCTGCAGGTAATACATTAGTTGTTCTGGCCAACATAAAACAGACTAATTTCCACGCACTAAGCTGCCCGCAATATGGGGTGAAGAATGAAGACATTTATTGGTCGTAAATTCTCACCTCGCCTCCTATTGGTTCTAACAATCAATTACAATAATTAGACTGTTGTATGTTGCAAAAAACAGGAATGATTTGATGGCTTGCCGTTTACAACTACATATATTTAGTCATACTATCTAATCTTTTCAACTTATCAACAATTAAGATGAGGATAGTTTGGTTAGGATTAAAAAAATAAGTAAAATTAGTTAATTGAGTGCATTAGTTGTCTAACAAATATCCAATCGTGCTTATTTTTAAACCTATTTTAATTTATAAAGGGATTCTGCACACCTACAAGAAATTATCTTCCTAACAGTACGCCTAGATTTTTCCTGTGATGCACACAAGCTGAGAAAAAAGGTTTCAAATAAACATGCTTGCCTATTGATATATAGATATTCGAAACTTTAATAAACAAGTTTTAGTACGAGTTTGATTTCAACTTATTATATCCAAGCGACAAATTATTTACATTAATAATGAAAAATTGAAAACGCAACAGTAATAGAAACTAAAATATCGAATAGGCGTAAAGGAAACAAGATACTGATTAACTTGATTTTACCTGTATGTGCGTAATTGTATATTATGTCTGGTACGGACTATATCACCTTATGTAAAGTATCTTTTACATAAAATTACCTTATGAATGAATAGCAATAATATGTGGTATTTCAAAAAAGTTTAAATCTGGGAGTGTTTTATATTATCAATTTCAATGACTTAATTTTACCCCTACATTTTACGTGTCCTGAAATAAATTTTTTTAGTTATTTTTATTGAAATGCTTAAAAAACATCTTAAACTCGTTTACTACAGAGGATAGGTTTAAAAGGTCCGAGAAAGATAAGTAAAATTTTCCTGAATTTCGAAACAATTAAACAGGAGCACGAACAGCTGTTATATTTTATATCGGACCGTTGCGTGGGGGTACAATAGTTAAAGAGGACACATGAGACACATGACTCTCTACGGCGTAAACTTAATGAGTGTAGCACTAGCGTCAACATGAACAGATGATATGCCCATTGTAGAACGAGAAGCAGCTTGTGTGCCCATACAATAATGGGCAACAGCTCCGTTTCTCGTCTGTTTTGCGGTGTCTCATTGTCGCCTAACGATATTGTTACAAGGGTAAGCGGGGTTGTATTATGATTCGTGACAATGTTTCTCAAGTGATTTATCATTCAGTGAGTTGTGATAACGTTACTGTCACCAGCCCTTAGTGAAACAAGTAGCATTTGCTTGTTCAACATGATTCCAATTTGATGTTGAGAAATTATGGTGGGATTTTAGTATAGCTGCTCAGATTAAATTTCTAAAATGTTGATTGATTTAAAAATAGTTACTTTATATTGAAATGCATCGTAAATCATAAAATACATATTTTTACTTATATTTGGTTGAATGGTTTTAGTGTGACGACTACGTTACACTAAAGATTACTTACGGAAACGTATTGATATCTTGTAAAATACGTTTTTTGACGTGGGCAAAGTAAGATTAATTTAACAAACTTTAAGTGATGACCAAAATGTGATTTTGTGTTTAAGTGAGATCATTGAGAAATAATATTTGTTATAATAGTGGTTGCGTTTTATTTTGTTCACCTTTCCATAATTATGTAATTTTATTCGTGTTTATCATATGATGATGGAGGAAGAGAAATGTATAGATATGTAGATGTGTGTGTAGTTGTGGATTATAAATAATACAACTGCAACACATTTCTTTAATTAATTTCCTTTTAATTTACCATTGACCAATCTTTTTTAATATCAAACGTTTGCTCGTTTAACATGATATTAATTAATTATTTACTGTAAAGTGCTGTTTAGTTTTTCATTGTGGAAATTACGTTAAAATTGTAGTTTAGTAAAGTATTAATAGGCATCTTGGACATTCTTCCCTATATTATTAGATTCGTTTACAAAATTATATACATAATTATGTAGTAAGAATTATGTAGCTTTAACATGAAAAGGTATTGTTAAAACAGTATATTACATTGCAAGCATTTGTTGTCACCTTCATTTTTTAATCCACTTAACCAACCCTTTGTGAAACGAATACTGTTTGTTTGCTTACTTTACACGCATTTAATTAAGTGACGGGAAATTGTTGTTCAGTGCTTTTAGTGAGTCGACTACATAAACGATATTTTAATAAATATCAATACCTTTTAGAATTGTTCCCCTTTTATTATTTTACCATACACATTCGTGTTTATAACGTTTGAAGGTTCAGGGTACGCAAAGGTCTGGTTGGAAATAGTGAATCACATTACAAAAGGCTTTGTTAAATTCTGTATTCTTTATTATATGCTATTTGAAAGTAGTACCAAGAAAAACACAGTGAAAAAAAATTATGAGTAAATGTAAAACTGGTCATCTAAATCTGAATGTGGAATGACTTTTTACTTATTACTCTATATTTAATTACGTGATTACAGAATAGTAAGTTTATTTGAAATAAAAACAAGTATATAATGCTTATGTGTCTTAAGAAAGTATCTCACAGGTCCTATTTATATACTTTATCTCAGGAATAATTCACTTTTATATTTCGGGAATATTAAGATATATAATTTATATCTGGTAAACAGCATTAAACAGTTTGAGCTCACGTAGCTTGTGATTTTCAGGAGTCACTTACCACAGGACGTCTCTTGTTCACAGTACCGCTATCTGGAGGACATTGCAGACGCCCTCGCCTACTCCCCTGGTGAGGCAATTGTTTTGAAATTTGTATTTGGTATGTCTTAAGTAATTACAGATTACATCTAACAGTTCAATGGCCAAAAATACAATAATTCGCCATTCATTATTGACAATAGCGCTAAATGAATCTAAATGAATCGCGAGTTTACTGAATCTTGATTTTTTTCAGTTGAATGATTAAAGTATTTATCAAATTTTACACCACTTTGGCAAATCATATGATTTAAATAATTATAATGGTAAAAAAATATAATTTTGTCTTAATTTTTTATTCTATTCTTATGAAATCGATAAAAATGTTGCTCAATTATATAGCACCATCTTTGTTAACTTGTTCTCTTTAGACGTAAAAAATTAAAATTAATATGTTTAAGGTTACAAGTATAACAATGTAAACCATTTTCTTGATTGTGTGTGAATCAATAAGAAGGAAACAACAAAAGACTACAGTATGTTCACTCAAAAAAAAAAAAAAGAAATTGTTACACCAAGATAGCAATAATCACTTCGCTGAAGTTCTTTATCATTATCACTACTAAAAAACCTAGGTGTGTTTTTAAAGCTCAATATAAAAGTAAGATGAGTGTAAAATATAATGCACAGTTTTTCACTGAGATAATTTAATCCTTTATCACCTACAATTTATTTCAAAACTCCGCGGATCAAGGATCGAGGCCCAGTTTTGATCCATCAAAAAAGCTACTATGCTATTTGTAACCATACAGTTCATAAGAGAATTCATATTGCAGATGACTGCCACGAGTTTTTGTCACTACTTGGGGAAGAGCTGATATTTAACTCAGAGGACAGACCGATGATGGACAAGGCATTCCGTAGTCTAGGAGTCACATTTCTGGAGTTTCTCACAACTCTGGACGGCGTCCTGGACGTCCTGCAGGGGCAGACGGAGGACAAACAGGTTGGATAAATAAAATGAAAAAAAAAGAAAAGGAGAAGACCATAACAAATCTCTAAAACGTGTCTGTTGATTGTACCTAATATTTTCCCATCAACATGGTCGTTAAAGACATGTGCGTGAAGATTTTTAAGAAAAACAAGGTGTGATCCCTTTATTGAGTGTACTAGAATAAATGTACTGATATATTTGAAGTGGAAGGATCAGGATAGGATGCCAAGGCATGGCTGATTGGGTTTCACAGTTCGGCTATAGATACTTTTCGTTAGGTAAATCTTAAATGCAACTAAGTTGTGTTTGTGTTGAAGAAAATATTACTAAAACTACTTAAAAAGCTATCTACAGTAGTTTTAGTTTACTGAACATAATTTAAAAAGAATCAACACTTGGATAAGCTTAAAAATAATATGTTACATCCTACTTTTATCATCTTATTGTCAATATACTGAATTAAAATCATAAAATATTTCAATATTTTGCTGAAATATTCTAGCAGGAAAAACAAACGACTTGCTACTGATCCTTAGTAACAGTAGAAGCTAGGTGATCCTTTTAACTTCGGACGTGGAGAAATTGCGTCAGCGGTAATTCCTGGGTGTATATTTCAAAACTTTGCAAACAAAATATAGTTCTTATACTTAACACTCGTTTCATAGATAAATTTTGTTACATTGGAATATGAGAATAATGATGGTATTCTTCGTGTACAGGCCGCTTCTTTCATCTGCACGCCGGGTGCCATCACTGGCGCTCTAGACCTGGTGTTGACCACTGAGAGACCTCCCGTCGCTCACCTCATGGTCGGGTGTCTAAGAGCCATCGCCGCCAAGTTGTACTCCACTCAGATCATTGTATCCCTCATACCTGACGAGCTCGACCACAAGGTCTACAGGTGAGCTGCAAGGGAACTCAGAATGTAATAAATAGTTACTACATTCCTTTACTTCTCATTTTGTGAGTTTATTAGCTATGTCTAACCACATACAACCACACACCGGCATACCGGGGTATCGGCTAATCTCCTTTGAACTTTTCTGCTATATTAAGGAGGAACCGGTAAATTCCTACTGAGTTCAACATACCCATAATGTTAGAGAAATTGTTTGTCATATTGTTGACGCAGCTAACGTATTTGTAAACTTTGATGAATCCTCGGTTAATTAAAAGCATCATTGTATCCATTAATATCCGTGGCATTGAATATCTAATTTTAACGTGATCCACTGAAAATTTTGAGCTTAACTGTAGGATAAGGGGCTTAGTTTTTCATAATTGGTACTATAATAATCGCCCAGCTAAGCATTCAGATTGCTGGTGAATATTACACATGATGAAAACACCTTTTTAAGCAGCACACAGATCGCCCTAAAAAAATGTACAGAATAATATGTATGCTACATGTATGTCCAAGTACAGCCTGAGGATACACAACTTTTGCCATAAGTTGCTGAGGGAAATCTGTTGAGTCCCATTGTGCTATTTTTGCTAGGTTCTTTTCATATCCTTCGATCCAGCTAAGTATGGATGACATTAATTGTTTCATAATATTTTTTCACAGCTTCTTGCATATTCACCCAATCTTTTCTTTAACAAAGAATAAGATCCAATCTTGGCCTATGTGATAAGCCAAGCCTATGTGCTGTGTACCAGGTACGAGATCACCGCAGTGGCAGACCTCGAGGACGACGACTCAGACGTGGTGACTCAGCCCAAGATAGAAGCCGCATTGTCAGACAAGGCCGCGGACCTGAGGATTGGAGTAGCCAGCTTCTGTAAGGCCTTCCCTTGGCACTTCATCATCGACCGTCGCCTCCAGTTTGTGCAGCTTGGCTCGGGCTTCATGAGGATCTTCGGACGCCTCTTGGCTGAGAAAGGTACAAACATAGACTTTGGAAGCTGCAAGTAGACTCCTTATCAAATTGTACGTGTGTTCAATGTATGTTAAATTATGACGTCTTGAAAATGATTTATTATATGGCACATTATGATTGATACTCGTATGTATTTGTCATATATTTAATAGAGAAATATGTCTAATACACTATCTCTTTTCAAAGGTCTGTAATGATCTAAAAACTAAAGGCAGATGTAGATATAAGAATCATATTGTAATCGCAACAACAAAAGAACAAGAAGCTTTTAACAGCTACGATTTTCTCCATCCAGAATTTAAAACTAACTAGTGTACCTGTTGCTCGAATTCGAGCAATTGCTTAGTATTACAGACGTTAAGATGTACATAACAGATCGATATAATCAACATTTCTTATAAATATCGTATCATTTTTCAAAAACTTGTTTATTAGTGTTTTCTACAAATAACCTTACTCATAGCCGCATTAGGTTGTCCATAATAACAATTATAAATTCTAAAAAAAATATTTCTATTTCTTCTCCTATGTTTCCATAGTTTGCAAATCGGCTCTTTCAATGATTACTAAGAAATGCAGCACAGAGACAGTGTTAATTCAGTTTTCTTTTTAGTATATCAAATTATCCAGGCTTCTCTCTCTTTTTCCCATTGTAATATTTACGCCAACCCAAATAATAGTAAATATTTCATTTCAATCAATTCAGTAAATGTTTGTAGCTAACTGTTAAACTTATTGCCTCTTTACAATTAACATATGTTCTTCTTCTCAATTTTAATTTTTGACAACAGCTGGAGTTTCATAACAGTTTTTGTTTCCCATGTTAATCTTATGGAGAAATACGAAACTTTAAAGGGCCTCACTCTCTAATTATTTCCCTAAACAGAAAGTTTCCTGCACAACTTCACGTTACGCTCTTTCCAATGACACCAAAAACATGTCAATCGGTTCAGTAGTTTCGGAGGAGTAATTGTCACAAAAAAACTGCTTGCGTATTAAATAAGTAATAATATAGATAAAGAAAAGCCTAACGAAAAAAAGGAATAACCTTCGAGAAAATTTCGTAATTAGCTTCTTCCATACAATTATTAAATCTGTCAATTTCGGTTTGTAATTTTCAATCGTAATTCAATAGATTTTTAAAACTCTTCCCAACATTAGCCAGGAATGGCTTCGCTTCGCAGTTTGAGTTTAAATTAATTGATTTATGTTGACAATTTGTAGAGTTAGGAGAAAAAAAGGCATTGGCATTGCAGTAACGTAGCTGCACTAATCTAAAAAAAAAAAAAACATTTTGCGAAAATCCACATTAAATACAGAACGTCTTAAAGTTTTTTTATTACATTTTAAAAGCTTTGTTCGAATGAGTTTCAGGTTATATTAAATTATTTACAGCCCAATTTGTTTCCTACACTTTGTAATGTACTTTTGCTTGTATTCGATACATAAACTTTTTATTATTCATCGTATACGAACAGTCCCGGTCACGTTTTGCCAACAAAAGATCAGAATGCTTTAGCAATGTACCTTGAGTACCTTAAGTGCTAGCCTGTGATTAACTATGATAAAGCATTAGGTATAACACAAATCCTTTGTTATTTTGTAATCACGAATACTTGAACAAACCCGCTATGGATCATAAACATAAACAAATGATGTTTCTGGCCCGAAAATAAACATTACTATAAAGCGGTTGTACCCATGCTTTACAACGGACAGAGGACACGGATTAGAAACATTTTTATCTTAAATCTCTAGTATAAAACACATCCGCCAACGATTTTATAAACAAAATTCTACCTTAACTTCCTTTATAGAAACGTTGGTGGCTTTAAAATCTGAAAAATAGTGAAAACCGTAATTTTGTTTTTAATTTTAAATCTGGTGTAGGCTGTTATGTGGAAAACTTACAAAATTTTTGAATAATATTTTCACATACATGATTTACCTTTATCTTCCTCATTTACATTCAAGGTGATACACTTGGCCTTGAACTTTGAATGTAGGCATATATATATCCACGTTAACGTATCTCATTCCCTCCAAAAGAAGTAATTTGGAAATATTACGAAGGAAATGTCTTGACTGAGGTGGATAATCAAACAACGAAGAGCAAAAATGCTCAGGTGCTTTCGAAATAGGGGAAACGGTAAATTTTCCAGAAGCACAACATATTCCACATGGCTCATTTTCCCAAGTGAAAGCATAGTAGAATCTGCAAACTTTGTCAAAGTCGACAATATTAGCGGCTTCAATATAGTTAATATGTGGATCGTAGTAGAATCCACTGTTATATTTGTTTTCCCACCGAATTAGGTTTCTGTTAACACGTGACGTATTCTCTCTTGTTCACGTCGGTTGCGGGCCTCATCAATGGTTTCCAGATGTCTGGCTATTTAGTGAGTTTTTGGTGTCTGCCACCATTGCCACAATTCTTTCGCTCTGTTCTTGTTCAGCTACATGGACATCTTTTCTGGCTGATTCATTTTCCAATGTCAGACGATGGAGGTGAACAGCGCGATTGTGCCTATATTATATCTAATTATATCTTAATTGCCGAGCTCTTCACTCCTCGCCTGATTCATTCTGTCGTACTATGGCATGACGCACTCTGTCTTCTTCTAACCTCACTTCTCGTTCCTCCTCAGTTTCTTGCTGTCTCAACGCTTCACGCCGCAACCTGTCGTCTTCTCTCCTAGCCTCTAGTTGGTTATCCTCAGTTTATTGCTGTCTCAACGCTTCACGCCGCAACCTGTCGTCTTCTCTCCTACCCTCTCGTTGGTTCTTCTCAGTTTCTTTCTGTCTCAACGCTTCACACCGCAACCTGTCGTCTTCTCTCGTAGCCTCTAGTTGGTTCTCCTCAGTTTATTGCTGTCTCAACGCTTCACGCCGCAACCTGTCGTCATCTCTCCTACCCTCTCGTTGGTTTTCCTCAGTTTCTTGCTGTCTCAACGCTTCACGCCGCAACCTGTCGTCTTCTCTCGTAGCCTCTCGTTGGTTCTTCTCAGTTTCTTGCTGTTTCAACGCTTCACGCCGCAACCTGTCGTCTTCTCTCGTAGCCTCTCGTTGGTTCTTCTCAGTTTCTTGCTGTCTCAATGCTTCACGCCGCAACCTGTCGTCTTCTATCGTAGCCTCTAGTTGGTTCTTCTCAGTTTCTTGATGTCTCAACGCTTCACGCCGCAACCTGTCGTCTTCTCTCGTAGCCTCTCGTTGGTTATTCTCAGTTTCTTGCTGTCTCAACGCTTCACGCCGCAACCTGTCGTCTTCTATCGTAGCCTCTAGTTGGTTCTTCTCAGTTTCTTGATGTCTCAACGCTTCACGCCGCAACCTGTCGTCTTCTCTCCTAGCCTCTCGTTGGTTCTCCTCAGTTTCTTGCTGTCTCAACGCTTCACGCCGCAACCTGTCGTCTTCTCTCGTAGCCTCTCGTTGGTTCTTCTCAGTTTCTTGCTGTCTCAACGCTTCACTCCTCAACCTGTCGTCTTCTCTCGTAGCCTCTAGTTGGTTCTCCTCAGTTTATTGCTGTCTCAACGCTTCACGCCGCAACCTGTCGTCTTCTCTCCTACCCTCTCGTTGGTTCTCCTCAGTTTCTTGCTGTCTCAACGCTTCACACCGCAACCTGTCGTCTTCTCTCGTAACCTCTAGTTGGTTCTCCTCAGTTTATTGCTGTCTCAACGCTTCACGCCGCAACCTGTCGTCTTCTCTCCTAGCCCCTCGTTGATTCTTCTCAGTTTCTTGCTGTCTCAACGCTTCACGCCGCAACCTGTCGTCTTCTCTCGTAGCCTCTCGTTGGTTCTTCTCAGTTTCTTGCTGTCTCAAACCTTCACTCCTCAACCTGTCGTCTTCTCTCGTAGCCTCTAGTTGGTTCTCCTCAGTTTATTGCTGTCTCAACGCTTCACGCCGCAACCTGTCGTCTTCTCTCCTACCCTCTCGTTGGTTCTCCTCAGTTTCTTGCTGTCTCAACGCTTCACACCGCAACCTGTCGTCTTCTCTCGTAGCCTCTAGTTGGTTCTCCTCAGTTTATTGCTGTCTCAACGCTTCACGCCGCAACCTGTCGTCTTCACTCCTAGCCCCTCGTTGGTTCTTCTCAGTTTCTTGCTGTCTCAACGCTTTACGCCGCAACCTGTCGTCTTCTCTCGTAGCCTCTAGTTGGTTCTTCTCAGTTTCTTGCTGTCTCAACGCTTCACGCCGCAACCTGTCGTCTTCTCTCGTAGCCTCTCGTTGGTTCTCCTCAGTTTCTTGCTGTCTCAACGCTTCACGCCGCAACCTGTCGTCTTCTCTCGTAGCCTCTCGTTGGTTCTTCTCAGTTTCTTGCTGTCTCAACGCTTCACTCCTCAACCTGTCGTCTTCGCTCGTAGCCTCTAGTTGGTTCTCCTCAGTTTATTGCTGTCTCAACGCTTCACGCCGCAACCTGTCGTCTTCTCTCCTACCCTCTCGTTGGTTCTCCTCAGTTTCTTGCTGTCTCAACGCTTCACACCGCAACCTGTCGTCTTCTCTCGTAGCCTCTAGTTGGTTCTCCTCAGTTTATTGCTGTCTCAACGCTTCACGCCGCAACCTGTCGTCTTCTCTCCTAGCCCCTCGTTGATTCTTCTCAGTTTCTTGCTGTCTCAACGCTTCACGCCGCAACCTGTCGTCTTCTCTCGTAGCCTCTCGTTGGTTCTTCTCAGTTTCTTGCTGTCTCAACGCTTCACGCCGCAACCTGTCGTCTTCTCTCCTAGCCCCTCGTTGATTCTTCTCAGTTTCTTGCTGTCTCAACGCTTCACGCCGCAACCTGTCGTCTTCTCTCGTAGCCTCTCGTTGGTTCTTCTCAGTTTCTTGCTGTCTCAACGCTTCACGCCGCAACCTGTCGTCTTATCTCGTAGCCTCTCGTTGGTTCTCCTCAGTTTCTTGCTGTCTCAACGCTTCACGCCGCAACCTGTCGTCTTCTCTCGTAGCCTCTCGTTGGTTCTTCTCAGTTTCTTGCTGTCTCAACGCTTCACTCCTCAACCTGTCGTCTTCTCTCGTAGCCTCTAGTTGGTTCTCCACAGTTTATTGCTGTCTCAACGCTTCACGCCGCAACCTGTCGTCTTCTCTCCTAGCCCCTCGTTGATTCTTCTCAGTTTCTTGCTGTCTCAACGCTTCACGCCGCAACCTGTCGTCTTCTCTCGTAGCCTCTAGTTGGTTCTTCTCAGTTTCTTGCTGTCTCAACGCTTCACGCCGCAACCTGTCGTCTTCTCTCCTAGCCTCTAGTTGGTTCTCCTCAGTTTCTTGCTGTCTCAACGCTTCACGCCGCAACCTGTCGTCTTCTCTCGTAGCCTCTCGTTGGTTCTTCTCAGTTTCTTGCTGTCTTAAAGCTCCACTCCTCAAACTGTCGTCTTCTCTCGTAGCCTCTAGTTGGTTCTCCTCAGTTTATTGCTGTCTCAACGCTTCACGCCGCAACCTGTCGTCTTCTCTCCTACCCTCTCGTTGGTTCTCCTCAGTTTCTTGCTGTCTCAACGCTTCACACCGCAACCTGTCGTCTTCTCTCGTAGCCTCTAGTTGGTTCTCCTCAGTTTATTGCTGTCTCAACGCTTCACGCCGCAACCTGTCGTCTTCTCTCCTAGCCCCTCGTTGGTTCTTCTCAGTTTCTTGCTGTCTCAACGCTTCACGCCACAATCTGTCGTCTCCTCTCGTAGCTTCTCGTTGGTTCTTCTCAGTTTCTTGCTGTCTCAACGCTTCACGCCGCAACCTGTGGTATTCTCTTCTAGCCTCTCGTTGGTTATCCTCAGTTTCTTGCTCTCTCAACGCTTCACGCCGCAACCTGTCGTCTTCTCTCCTAGCCTCTCGTTGGTTCTTCTCAGTTTCTTGCTGTCTCAACGCTTCACGCCGCAACCTGTCGTCTTCTCTCCTAGCCTCTAGTTGGTTCTCCTCAGTTTCTTGCTGTCTCAACGCTTCACGCCGCAACCTGTCGTCTTCTCTCGTAGCCTCTCGTTGGTTCTTCTCAGTTTCTTGCTGTCTCAACGCTTCACACCGCAACCTGTCGTTTTCTCTCGTAGCCTCTAGTTGGTTCTCATCAGTTTCTTGCTGTCTCAACGCTTCACGCCACAACCTGTCGTCTTCTCTCCTACCCTCTCGTTGGTTCTTCTCAGTTTCTTGCTGTCTCAACGCTTCACACCGCAACCTGTCGTTTTCTCTCGTAGCCTCTAGTTGGTTCTCCTCAGTTTCTTGCTGTCTCAACGCTTCACACCGCAACGTGTCGTCTACTCACCTAGCCTCTCGTTGGTTCTCCTCAGTTTCTTGCTGTCTCAACGCTTCACGCCGCAACCTGTCGTCTTCTCTCCTAGCCTCTAGTTGGTTCTTCTCAGTTTCTTGCTGTCTCAACTCTTCACGCCGCAACCTGTCGTCTTCTCTCAATGCCTCTTGTTTCTCCAATATTTTTCTTATTGTCTAAACACATCCTGCCTTTAACTGACTTCTTCTCTCCTTACCTCTCGTTTCTCCACTGTTTCTTATTGTCTAAACACACATTGCCGCAATCTGACTTCGACATATATATTACAGACAGACAATCAAACATTGCTCGTATTAGAATATAGGATTAAAATATGTAATAAAAGGAATCGGTTGGCATAGTAAAGAAGTGTCAAATATAACTTAGGGTTTGCCCTATAAAATTTGAGTATTAATTGTAAAATTGCTGATAGTAAACGTATGTCTATGAAAACAATATAAAAATATAAAAACTTCTTCCTATGGGTAGATCCTTAAATGAGTTGCATCTATTGAAGTTGTGTTTCAAATTTCCTTGCAATGCATTCTGCAGTGTTTTAGAAATCGTTTTTACTAATACCATTTTACGTATTCATTTTGACCAATAACTACTGTTTGTATATTCTAAAGGCTTGTCCGTGGAGACATATTTCGAGTTCAAGAGGCCCTGGGGAGTAGAGGTGTCCTTCAGAGGAATTCTTCAGCGAGCCAACTCACCGTTCCTGCTGATGATCACGAAGGTGGACCCTCGTTCATCATCGTTAGCTCATGTAATGTATTATATTCCTCATTGTGTTATGGAATATTTTGATCTACTTACTAAATGAAACTGCTCATTGCCAGACACAATATATGTAACAGGAAGTTTGAATATAGATCTTAGTAATGGGAGCGCAGTACTCGAAAGGAAGGACTAGTGCAGTTACCACGGGTCAGAACTGAGGTATCAAAATGACCTTCTTTAACTTTGAACCTCTTTGAACAACGATCGGGGAGCGAGCTGGTCTCGTGGTTAGAGCGCGGGAATTCGGTTCCAGAGGTCCCGGGTTCAAATCCCGCTAAATAAACTATTAGAGGTTGGAGTTATACACCTACTTACAGTTATTTTTTTATGGATCATCTTTTTCTTTGTTTTTACTAAATTATTGGTGTAAAACAGAACGTACATTGTGCACTAGCTTAATAAACACGTTATGTATTAATTTTTACTCTTACTTTATCGTTTATTATACGTATTACTTTATGTTTAGCATATAACCGCTGGCTCAAGCTTTGCATACCTTTGTTCCGATATTGTAATGGTACTTTTGGACTCAACTTAGACTTTAAAATAAAAAGAAGCTGATGGTTATAATCAAATGTGTTGCTCAATTTGTATTGCGATAGAAATATGATTATTAGTAGTGTAAAATAGATATCTGCAATTGTAATTTTAAATAAGTAAATCTTATAAAAAAGTTGTAAATGGTAAATAAAAATGGAAATTTTATAAACCTTTTATAACATTACGGTTCACTAGAAAGCTATATTATTCCGGAAAAGAGTTACTCCCATTTTGCTTAAGGAGGTCATGTTATGAAGTATTTGAAGGGCGGAAGGGTCTTTCCATTTCCATTTGGTGACAGCAAAAAGCGTTTTCAAAGAAGAGAAGTCGTGGGTTTGACAAGCCTTGGAGACGCGTATTGAAACACCGTCAGTTGTTGTATTGAGCTTGCCGATGCTTTGGACAGATATAACTTTGCTCTCTGGCTCACCAAGAAATGTATGAAGTTTCTTGTAAAGGCAAAGAAAATATGGCTTGTACCAAGTGTAATATATAATCAAGGCTTAAGAGGACTAGATTGTTTTAACGGTGTTGGCTGCACTGTACCAATGCCGTGACGTCATTGCTACCTACCAGATTGCCGGCTGAACGGCTGTCTAACGTCATCCATGCTAAAAGTAAGTCATGTTCTATGTTGTGCGTTATACCTAAAAGTAGTGCAGTTCTTTATACATTTCATTGGCGCAGTCGGTAATTACGGATTTCTTTCTATGGATTAAAAAGTAAAAATCTTTTCCGCGAGTGTTAATGGGAGACAAAAAGGACAAAGGAAAAGGATCTACTGTGACGAAAATGTCAGGTATTGGGAAGGTGGGAGAGTTTAATCCCCATGAGGAAGCCATTGAGTCGTATTTAATGCGTCTCAAACACTATTTCAAGGCCAATAGTATTGAAGATGGTAGTAAAGTTTCAGTGTTGATTACTGTTCTGGGCCCTAAAATATTAGCAGTTTTGTCAGATATTGTGTCTCCTGATGAGGTGGATAGTAAATCTTATGAAGATTTGTCAAAAGTATTGGTCAAACATTTTTCCCCAAAGAAGTTAGTAGTGGCGGAACGATACATGTTTTATTCCAGGGTACAAAAGCCTACCGAAACTATTTCTGAATTTGTTGTAGCTATCAAGCATTTGTCTAGTACTTGTAAATTTTCTACATTTCTGAAAGATGCCCTTAGGGACAAATTGATTTCTGGAATTAATAATGAGGTGATACGACAAAAATTGTTGTCTGAAGACTTAGATTTTGAAGAAGCTCAGACTTTGGCTCTCAGGCTGGAACAAGCAGAGAAGCAAACAGGTCTTTTCAGTTCGAAACAGGATGTTAACAGTTTGAGTATGAAACGTGGTAAAAATGTTTTACCTGCTAGCTCTTTTAATAAATCCAATGTAAATGGTTATTTTAAACCAAATATGGGGTTTAATTGGAAAAATAAGTGTTACAGGTGTAATTCAGTGGAACATAAAGCTAATGATTGTCCATATTCTAGTTACAAGTGCAATGCATGCAATATGGTTGGGCATTTGTTCAAGGCTTGTAAGTCCCGAAATAAATTTAACAAGCAGAATTCAAAGTCCAAGAGTGGAAGATTTGCCCCACACAAGGTGCATCATCTTAATTTGGAAGAGGAGGACCCTAGGCCTAGGCCTAACTTGGATATAGTCAAGGAGACTCGGGACTTGTGTTTGTACAATCTAGGCCTATCTGACGGTACAGAAGCTTACAAGGTAAGACTAATGATAGAAGATGTAGTTGTAGAAATGGAAATTGATAGTGGATCAGCAGTATCCGTGTGCCCGTCTGAGGTTTTTGCGGAAAAATTTCCTAATGTGGAATTAAATCATGTAAATTTGAGTTTATTGACATACACTGGTGGGGAGGTGCCTGTGCTAGGCCAAGCTGATGTAACTGTAAAATATAAAGGTCAAGAAGTTATGTTGCCCTTATTGGTTGTGAAAATGTGTCGTAGGAACCAGCCTATGTTGTTGGGAAGGAGCTGGTTGGCCAAGTTGAAACTTGATTGGCGTTCTATTTTTTCAGTAGTATCGGAAGTAGGCCTACAGAGTAGGCCTAGTAATCAAATTAATTTGACTTTGTCTGAGCCTAACCCTGTGAGTAGTGTATCAGGACCTAGTTGTAAGGATCAACTGAGTAGGCCTAAGCTTAGCAGTACAACTGAAGTTGATGTGCAAACGTTGAAAAATAAATATGCTATGGTATTTCAAACGGGAGCTGGAGAAATTAAAGGGGTTACTGCTCACATTATTCTTAAAGACAATGTAGTTCCCAAGTTTTGTAAATATAGGCCAGTGCCTTATAGTTTGAGGGAGAAGGTTGAACAAGAGTTAGACCGAATGGTTAACGATGGAATAGCCTATAGGGTTTCCAGCTCCGAGTGGGCTACACCGTTGGTGACGGTTCCTAAACCAAATGGCGTAAGATTGTGCGCCGATTTTAAGGTAACGTTAAATCCGGTGCTGCAAACAGAGCACTATCCGCTTCCGCAACCGGAAGATATTTTTGCCTCGTTGTCAGGATGTACATACTTTTCAGTAATCGACCTCACAAATGCCTATCAGCAGTTAGCAGTAGCAGAGGAGTCTCAACCTTTGTTAACCTTGACTACCCATAAAGGACTTTTTAGATTGAGACGTTTGCCGTATGGGTTGTCGTCCGCACCGGCTATTTTTCAAGCAGTCATTGATCAGATTGTATGTGGGTTACCAGGTACCGTAGCGTACTTGGACGATGTTCTAGTGGGAGGCTCAACACGTGAAGAAGCTTGTAGTAGATTAGAAAATCTGTTTCAGCGTCTGATGGATTATGGAGTTCGGGTTAACGAGAGCAAGTGTAAATTTTTGCAGCCTAAGGTTGAGTATTTAGGCTATGTGGTTTCAGCAACGGGAATCAGCCCCCAGCAAGGGATTGTGTCGGCTATTCGAAATGCCCCGGAACCGAGTAACAAGGATGAGTTAAGGGCCTACATTGGGTTGATTAATTACTATGGAAAGTTTATTTACAATTTGTCATCAAAAATCAGTTGTTTTTATGATCTTTTGAAGAAGGACGTCCCATGGAAGTGGACCAAAGAGTGTTCACGCACTTTTGAGGAAAGTAAGTCATGGGTTCTTGACTCCAATATTTTGGTGCATTATGATGTGTCTAAGCCACTTGTTTTAACGTGTGATGCTAGCCCTAGGGGAGTGTCAGCCATTCTGTCTCATATGGTCGATGGAGAAGAGCGGCCTGTAGCTTTTGCGTCCAAAACTCTTAGCCCTAGTGAGAAAAATTATTCCCAACTACACAAGGAAGCATTGGCGTTGATATTCGGTGTAAAGAAATTCCACAAGTATATTTATGGTCGTAAGAACTGTGTGTTACAGACGGATCATCAGCCGTTAGCGGCAATTTTTGGAACAAAACGTGGTGTACCTAGCCTAGCTGCGGCAAGACTTCAGCGATGGGCTCTCATTCTGGCAGCATACAATTTTGAGGTTAAATATCGAAAAGGGGTTGACTTACCCCACGCTGATGCGTTATCACGCCTACCTCTACAAGATGATGAATCGTTGGAATTGGAGGATAATTATGTTTCACATGTTGAGTCTTGTGTTCAAGTAATCAATTTCTGCAGTGTGAGTGATGATTCTCCGATTACGTCTTTGGACGTAGGAAGATTGACGGACAAAGATCCATTGTTGTCGAGGGTTCGGGACTTTGTTTTACATGGCTGGCGGGAGGTTCAAAATCCTATGTTGCTTCCATTTCAGAGGAGACGATTGGAGTTGTCAGTGGACAAGAATTGTATCTTGTGGGGAAGTCGGGTGGTGATTCCTGAGATGTTGAGGGAGAACGTTATCCAGATGCTCCATGAACAGCATCCTGGTATAACCCGGATGAAGTTGTTGGCTAGAAGCTACGTGTGGTGGCCAGGTATCGAAAAATCCATTGAGGAGACAGTGGCGTCTTGTTTTGTATGTCAAGGCACGAGAAATGCCAGTCCTAGAGTTCCATTGCATCAATGGCCGTTAGCCACGGAGAGGTGGCGCAGAGTTCACATTGATTTTGCAGAAGATCCCACGTCAAGACAGCAGATGCTCATCCTAGTCGATAGTTACTCAAAATGGATGGAGGTGTTTCTGATGAGCTCTACATCTTCCTCCAAGACTATAGAGAAGCTTCGGACTTTGTTTGCAGCCTATGGTTTGCCCGAAGAATTGGTTTCTGATAATGGTACCTCATTCACTAGTCTCGAATTCCGTGAATTCCTTAGAAAGAATGGTGTCAAATTCACCCTGTCCCCACCCTATCACCCGGCATCCAACGGAGCCGCAGAACGTTCAGTTCAGGAAGTCAAGAAGAGTCTGCTGCGCCAGGTCTTGAGTGAGAAGCGCAGTCATCCTACTTCTTTACAGCATAAGCTAGATAATTTTCTATTTTCCTATCGCAACACCCCCACTTCAGTGACAGGCGTGAGTCCGGCTGAATTGTTCCTACGCTGGAAGCCTAGAACTCACTTAACAATGTTGAAGCCAAATTTGCTTGATGAGGCCAGGAAGCAACAGGAGTTGCAAAAACGGGCAGCAGATAAACACAGAGGCTCTGATAGGTCCTTCAGTGAAGGCCAGCATGTGTTAGTAAAGACGGTGAGGCAGGAAAAAATTTCTTGGGTTCCCGGCCAAATTGTGGAGTGTAGAAGTCCAGTAACTTATCTTGTGAGGGTCCTGAACCGCACCAGGTTTTGTCACGCTGATCATCTAAGACCAAGTCAGGTGGAGGAAGAGGAAATTTTGGTTAGAAGAGAGGAAGTGCCAGATCCACCGGAATCAGTGACCGTCAGCGTGTCGCCGGAGAGAGTATCTCCAAGTCGGCAGAGTTTGCCGTCATCGCCAAGGGCCAGAAGTCCACCGTCACCCCAAGGACGGAAGTCGATGGAAGAGGGGCAGCGTCCAGAGGTGCAGTGCAGTCCAACTCCTGTGGTTAGAAGATCGCAGCGGACTGTGCGCAAACCAGCTAAACTGGACTTGTAAGTGTGTATACACACGATTCAAAAAGAAGAATTTTTAGTTGATTATTAAAAAAAATATATATAAAAAAAAGAAGAAAAAAAAATGGAAGTTAAAAAATTGTTTGGTTTTAAAGAACGTTTTATGTTGAATTAAAGTTTTATAAGAAGTTTTAAGTTGTGGGCCAACTATTTTATAAGGGTTGGCGAGTGTAATATATAATCAAGGCTTAAGAGGACTAGATTGTTTTAACGGTGTTGGCTGCACTGTACCAATGCCGTGACGTCATTGCTACCTACCAGATTGCCGGCTGAACGGCTGTCTAACGTCATCCATGCTAAAAGTAAGTCATGTTCTATGTTGTGCGTTATACCTAAAAGTAGTGCAGTTCTTTATACATTTCACCAAGCTATATTTTTGCTGTAAAACTGTTGGCGTATCGCTATTTTACCGACGTTCTTTGTACAACTATGCGTAATCATATGTATTACGTTACTAGATATTTATCATATGTAGGCTATAATATTCTAGTAATATAGGGAAATTAATTATTTTAATTTTTTAAATTAAGTTATTGAAAAGGTTTTATAATAAATTAAAAATATATCTCGTTATTTTTTGTTCTTAATAATGCAAGTGGATCGTTGAAAAAATAAAGAAAAAAATGTTACTTTTAGTCTTTGATTTTCAACATGAGCTGTAAAATTACTGTATTTGAAAATAAAACAGTTTGTGATATTTATTTAAGCAATGCAGCATTATTGTGTCTTATGTCAGGCTTGTACTGAGTTTTGGACATACTTGACAGGGTCTGGAGCTGAAGGGCCAAATGGTCTACTGTCCTGAGTCCGACTCCATTCTGTTCGTTGGCTCACCGTCCCTCAACGGTCTGGACAGTCTGAACGGTCGGGGACTGTTCATCTCAGACATCCCTCTGCATGACGCTACAAGAGACGTGGTGCTTGTTGGAGAACAGGCGCGCGCACAGGTACTGTGACCTCTATCTTACTACTACTATGTTGCCAAAGCATCTTAAAAATCAGTATGATAATGGTACCAATACACTATGTCAACTTGTAATGTGTTTTCTACTAAAATGTTGGAGGTATTTTTTGACCTTACATTTGTCCGTACACGTAATCTCAAATATGTGTATTAAAATTTACAAGGAAAGCAGGGGAGAGCAATAAAGTACTACAAGCATGAATAGCACTGGTATATTTTGAGGTTGGGTACCGAGACGTGAGTTCGAGACATTACACTGTTACCGACATTACTGTTCGGTACTTATTTAAAGTCCCTAGATTGGTGCTACCCTAACCTTGCCCAACGTTATCTACGGCGAATCGTCCCCACTCCGACTACTGGAAACGCTACTCACTAGAATTGCCGACGGCGTCATGGGCAGACGTCCGCTACATTTTCCTACATAACTTTACATAGACTCTCATTTTCTTTAATTCAATTAACTTCATTTCTGTCAGTTTTAAGTTTTTTTCAATATACCAGTCATTTTTAACTTCACCAGTGCTAGTCATTTCCCTTGTTGTTGCCCCCGCACCTTTGGTCTACACCGCTGCTGTCTACACCGCTTCCACCCCCTGGACTACCCACTACCTTGGACGAGACGGACGTCATCCACCTTCAAGACATCCGACAAGGTAACGGTAGCACCAGCATTAATATTGTTGTTCAAACCGCCGTACGGCTTTCCGTTAAAGACCGTACACAATTTGGCCCTTCTACCCGGATATGATTTCGTACTATGCACCTTAATTTAATAACCGCAAATACAGTCCACGTAAACATCTCAACTTATTCTCAGATAATTTCTCTCCTCATGAAACAAACCTTGCAATAATTTTATATGTAGTTATAAATTGTTGTTTAGTTTGAGTTCAATAACCTTGTACAGTGAACAGACAGACAGGAATAGTTTTGTAAAGTTTTGGCTTGTAGCTATGCGCTGATAAATTGACCGTTATCCTAGTTTCTATGTCTCAAGGTCAACTAACGCACCACAACATTCTGCATTGTATTGTATCCATTCCATAAATAGCTCTGACGTAACCGCACCGAATATTCGCTTTATCACTCAGTCAGCTGATCTAACTGGAAATATTCTACCTCTATATTTTATTTTACTGAATTTATTTCCTTGTACTCACTTTCACAATGATATGATTGATATGTCCACTACTTGTCTAGATTAATACTGCATTTATAATAGTTGTAATTTTTATTTTATTTTATTTTTGCTAAAGAAATAAATATTATACATTTCACAATGGCTGCTAAGAGTCTTGAAAAGTGTGTTAAGAAAAGAGAAAGGTATTTTTATAAGTTACAATTATGTTACGATCTTGTAAAAGAATTGCCACAACAGAAAGATAGTTTTATTGCTAGGTATTCTAATTTGTCTAATGTGTACTCATCATTTGAATCTCTTTCCGAAGAAATGGATAACCTCAATCTTGAAATAACTGATGTTAGCGTTAGGGTAGATACTAGCGCGCCTTTTAAACAGTTTGATGACATGTACTATAAATGTATGGCTGCCTACAACAAGATTGTTGCCTCTGATCCACCTTCAAATGTCAATGTTGAACCATCACCCGCAGTTCAGCCTAAACCTAAACTACCCCAGATAGATATAAGTAAGTTTGGTGGACAGTTGGAACAATTTAACTCGTTTAAAGCTTTGTATGATAACTTGATTCACAATACTTCTTTGGCCCCAATGGAGAAGTTTAGTTATTTAAAGAGCTTACTAGAAGGCCCCGCTTTGTCTATTGTTGAAGGCATACCATTCGATCCAGACAACTATAAGTTAGCTTATGACTCTTTGGTTGAACGCTACACCAATCCCCGTATCTTGGCTTGTTTTTATCTCAATAAAATACTAGATCAGCAACCTGTAAAGACCCCTAGTCTAAGTAGTTTAATACAAGTTCTTGATGTGTTTCATATTAATGTCCAAGCGTTGAAAAGCCTAAAAGTAGATGATTTGTCAGATTTCATGTTGCTACAGTTAGCGCTACGTAATTTAGACAATAGTACCAGGAAAGCATTTGAGTTAGAATTTAAATCTAAGCAATTTCCCACCTTAGAAGACCTTATGGAATTTCTTCGTGCTCAGTGCTGTGTCTATGAACTCACTAAAGAATCTCACAAATCTACTTTAGTTTTGCCCAAGTCACAAATCCCTCATACTCGCAAAACATTGTTCTCATCTCACTCAACTCAACGCAGTGCAACTGAGCCTGACCGCACAGCAACCCAGTCATCTTATCGCCTCGCTATCAGTTGTCCTATGTGTAAAGGTGAACACCAACTGTATCGATGTGATCAATTCCTCGCCTTGGCCCCGCACAAACGTTATTCTACAGTACGTTCATTCAATCGTTGTTTCGCATGTCTCGGTTCCCACCTCATTTCCATGTGCACTTCTAAGTCGAGCTGTCGGGTTTGCAGAAGTAACAGACATCACTCTCTACTCCATGAACCAAGCCGAGTCACCGCACCGCTGCCTAAGCAAAATGTGAATCCTAACCTACCTCATACCTCCGCTGCGCATTCACCGCCCTCAACCACCGTCAACCCCGTGCCTACTACTTCTGTTAACACTACACCTGCTCAAACTTTATCCTGTCAGTTTCAGCATAACTCAATGAGTAATTCTACCCTGCTAGGTACCGCTCAAGTGTTGGTTCAAGATGCTCTAGGTCACTGGCAAGTTTGCCGTGCTGTTATTGATGGAGGTAGTCAGATTAATTTTGTTACTCAATCTCTAGCCCAGACATTACGTTTACCAATCAGAAAATGTAATGTTAACATTTCTGGAATTGGCCAACAATCTGATTTAACCGCAAAAGGACTTGTCACTTGTAACGTTGCTTCCCGCTATAACAGAGACGATAGTATTCAGATGGACGCAGTAATAATTCCTCAAATCTCTTCTGTACTTCCGGCTGCACCTATTCCCGAATCATTGATAAATCGTTTCAATTCTATACAACTGGCTGACCCTGATTTTCACCGCCCTGCCAAGGTTGATATTTTGTTCGGAGCACAGGCTTTCACTGAGATTCTTTCGGATGGTTTCGCGCTTATTAAAGGCAAACCAAGCGCCCTCAGCACAATCTTTGGATGGATCCTTATGGGTGATGTCCCCACACAGCCCATGCAACAACACGAACTAAATTCTTTGTTTGTTTCATCTCAAAGCACTGATAGGCTCTTAGAAAAGTTCTGGGAAATGGAAGAAATAAATTTACCAAAACCCTTAAGTCCCTCTGATCAGGCATGTGAAGACCACTATCAGTCCACTATCCAGAGAGATAATACCGGACGTTACGTGGACTCCTTACCCTTTAAAGACGTTAAACCTGACTTAGGCTCCACTAGAAAAATAGCTCTCCTCAAGTATCTCCAACAAGAGACAAGATTTCACAAGAAACCAGATATTCGTTTTCAATATATGACTCACATGCAGAACTATGTTGACCTAGGTCATATGTGTTTGGCCCCTGCGCCCTCTTCATACATTCTTACTCATCACGGTGTCGTTAAAGAATCTTCTACATCCTCCCCACTTCGTGTTGTGTTCAACGCTTCTGAATTAAGTGACACAAATCAGTCTCTTAATAAATCACTGTTAACTGGACCTAAACTTCAAGCTGATATTGGAACTATTATCACAAACTTCAGATTGCACCAGATTGCTATGACTTGTGACTTCAAACAAATGTATCGAGCTATTCGTATAACACCGGCTGATTGTAAATATCAACATTTGTTTTGGCGCTCTGACCTCACGGGCCCTGTACAGGAATGGGAATTACAAAGACTAACCTTTGGTCTCTCGTGCAGTCCTTATATTGCACAACGAACTTTAAAGCAACTAGTGCTTGATGAAGGCGCTAAGTACCCAAATGCGGCTGATATTCTAAGCTCCTCTTGTTATATTGACGATCTTGTTTTTGGTGCTCCAACCGAGACTTCAGCTCTTAAGCTTTATGATGAAATCACACAACTATGCTCATCAGGTGGTTTCGAACTCCATAAATGGTCAAGTTCAAGTAGCTCCGTCCTCGCCACAATCCCCGCCGACCGTCGAGAAACACCCCATCCGTTAGGATCTACACACTCGATTAAAGTACTAGGGCTTGAATGGGACCCGACTACTGACTGTTTCTGCTACTCTATTTCACCTGTCAACAGAACACCAACCAAACGCAATGTATTGTCTCAAGTTGCTCGAGTTTACGATGTAAACGGCATTATTAGTCCAATTATTTTCACCTTAAAAGATCTACTTCAACAGATTTGGATTGAAATACCCCCGCCGCAGCAAACCTGACGCCTAAGCGAATTTCCATTTGGCTGAATTGATTTTCAATTGATCTATTTAAATAACATTAGGTTTAACGAGTACCTAGGAAACTAATAAAGTGTGTGTTTTAAGTAAAATAATTATTGCTTAGTTTAAAATGAATATATTTGCCAAGTTTAATCAAAAGATATCCATAAACAAGCAAACTACAACATTTTACAATATTCTCCATAAGAATAACATGGGAATTTTAAATTTACCATTTTTTTAGTTTTCTCGGTAACCAATAACCGTACAAAAACACTTTGATATACTGAATTGTTTGTTTTTTTAAGCTCTTTAAGAAGGTTTAGAGATAAATTGGGAAATTTTGTGTTTTGAGGGTCAAAAGTGAGAAAAACCAATTTTTATCTCATAAAACCCCCCATAAAACCCTGTTCCCATGGTCCGATCATGCTGGATCGCGAACTCATTCAAGTTTATCCCGCCTTACACCTTCAAACCAAATTTCATCAAAATCGGATAAAAATTACTCAAGTTATCGTGTTCACGGACACACACATATATATATATATATATATATATATATATATATATACATATATAAAAATTTGAACGAGTGGTGTTTTTGGCCTCTGGGGACATCAAAATGAAAAAGTAAATCGGTCCCGGGCCTAAGTCTTACCATGAGACCTACGGTAATAGCTACTTCCCTATAGGGAAATTCGCTAAAACTCAACTGGGACGACCCTCTCCCTCAATCTCTCCAAAATGTTTGGGATAAATTCATCAAAGAACTACCCCTTATGACACAGTTCAAAATACCTCGCTACATTCTCAGTAACTACTTAACCACTCAGCTGATTGTTTCTCTGATGCTTCCAAAATAGGCATGTGCGCCTCCTTGTATCTGCGTATTGAATGTGAAGATAAGAGTGTAGAGTGCAACCTCCTGCAATCCAAAACTAAAGTCACTCCTCTGAAAACACTTACGATCCCTCGTTTAGAATTATGTGCCGCTCTTCTCCTCTCTCAGTTAGTAAAAGCGAACCAACCGCTCATTAACAAACTGCAAATATCAGACATCTTTCTATTCACAGACTCCATGAATGTGCTTGGTTGGTTAAATACACCACCACACCTACTAGAAACCTTTGTCTCAAACCGTGTCTGTAAAATCACAGAAATCACCCCTGTTGATGTTTGGCGTCATATATCAGGAGATGAAAACCCTTCTGACTGTGGCACTAGAGGTTTAATGCCGAATAGTCTGTTGAGTCACCATCTTTGGTGGCATGGACCCTCTTTTATCCACAATGATATCTCATCTTGGACTCTACCGCCTTCAAACTTTCCTTCGGATGTTATTGAGCCTCAAAAAACTCCCACGAAGAACACCTTGACAACTAATGCTGTTCCGCAAAACGACCTTTATCAATGGATGAATAGGTTTTCATCACTTATTAAACTTCAAAACATCATGGGCTATGTACTGAGATTTATCCATAACTCACGATCAGATCAATGTGATAAACGCTATGGCTCGTTATCAGTTTCTGAACGAGATGCCGCTCTGGAATGTTGTATAAAATTAGTACAAACAAGGCACTATTCTGAAGAAATAAAAGCTCTAAAACTATCCAAGCCTTGTTCTTCATCACTAAGAAAACTCTCTCCATTTCTATCCTCGGACACCCTCATGGTGGGGGGTAGATTGAAATTAGCTCCTTTGCCGGAATCATCAAAACACCCTGTATTGATACCCTCTCAGTGTCATTTGGCAAACCTTTTATGTGATTACTATCACTTGTATTCTCTACATGGTGGTCCAAAACTAGTACAAGCATTAATTCAAAGACGCTTCTGGATTATTGGTGCAAGAAATCTTATAAGAAAACGATTATTTCGATGTATCACTTGCTACAAAATTAAAGCTAAACCCACGCAACCTCTTATGGCAGATCTTCCACCCTCACGATTTCAACAGACCCGATGCTTTATTAATGTCGGATTAGATTTTGCTGGCCCTTTTCTCGTGAAAGAAAGCACGAGACGAAATGCAAAACTATCAAAGTGCTACATTGCTGTGTTTGTGTGTATGGCAGTCAAAGCTGTCCATCTAGAGTTAGTGCATTCACTTTCCACTGAATCCTGTTTAGCCGCTATAGACAGATTTATCGCTCGGAGAGGAATCTGCCGAAACATTTACTCTGATCAAGGTCGCAACTTCGTCGGTGCTGCACGCCAACTACAAGAAATCTACTCTCTCCTGAAGAACTCCACCTCACAGATCTCAGAACATTTGGCTCAACGAGAAATAACTTGGAACTTTAACCCACCATATGCCCCAAACTTCGGAGGCCTCTGGGAGGCTGCAGTGAAGTCGACCAAACACCATCTTAAAAGGATACTGCAAAACCATAATTTCACGGCTGAAGAATTCACCACATTCCTGTGCCGTGTTGAAGCTGTACTGAACTCCAGACCGCTTTGCGCACTCTCATCGTCACCTGATGACGACTTTAACTACTTGTCTCCTGGCCACTTCCTCACAGGAGACCTCCTGCTATCACGACCGGAAGAAGACATCTCGGAAGAACCCTTAAACTTACTCTCACGCTGGCAGCTAGTTTCTCGTGCCTCTCAACACTTCTGGAAAAGCTGGAGAAGAGATTATCTCCATACTCTTATCCAACGCCCCAAATGGACTGAGAAAACCATCAACCTTAAGGAAGGAGACTTAGTTTTAATGTACTCTAATAATACTGACCCTTTGACTTGGCCCCTAGGTAGGATAATTCAGGTTATGCCAGGATCTGACCAAGTTGTAAGAGTTGTTACAGTCAAAACCCCTGTAGGTATTGTAACACGCCCTGTAAATAAGTTAGTTCATCTCCCTATGGTTTAGATAGTGTTACCTTTGTCTCTTTGTACATATTATCAACATTTTGTATTATCTTTATAGTTAGGTAACAGGTTTGTTTCATGATGACGGTTATTATCCAAGGTTTTTGTTTTAAAGATTTACAGTTTCTTTAATTTTCTTAAATATTTTCTCAAAAAATGCTTTTTTGGGTGGGGGGAATGTTCAGTACTTATTTAAAGTCCCTAGATTGGTGCTACCCTAACCTTGCCCAACGTTATCTACGGCGAATCGTCCCCACTCCGACTACTGGAAACGCTACTCACTAGCATTGCCGACGGCGTCATGGGCAGACGTCCGCTACATTTTCCTACAAAACTTTACATAGACTCTCATTTTCTTTAATTCAATTAACTTCATTTCTGTCAGTTTTAAGTTTTTTTCAATATACCAGTCATTTTTAACTTCACCAGTGCTAGTCATTTCCCTTGTTGTTGCCCCCGCACCTTTGGTCTACACCGCTGCTGTCTACACCGCTTCCACCCCCTGGACTACCCACTACCTTGGACGAGACGGACGTCATCCACCTTCAAGACATCCGACAAGGTAACGGTAGCACCAGCATTAATATTGTTGTTCAAACCGCCGTACGGCTTTCCGTTAAAGACCGTACAGCTACATTTTTTACACTTACTAGTTAGATGTTTACAACCCCCAAATGAGTATACAGGGTGATTGATATAAGTGTGCCAGCCATTTTATTCGAAAACTGTAAGAGATATCAAAAAAAGTTAAATGGTAAGTGCCTTGGATTTTTTATTTAAAAAATTATAGTCAAGTCAAAAAAATTATTTTAGCCGCCATTTTTCCAATATGGCCGCCAACTTTGATTTTTATTATGGAACACCCTGTATTTTATGATGTATTCTGGTAGAAAAAGTAATTTTAAGACGATTTTATTCTTGTGATTTTTTTCATAAACCTAACCGTTTCAAAGATAATAATGGTTTAAGTTGTGAAATTTTGAATGGTTTTCGAACAAAACAGCTGGCATGCTTGCTTAGGCCTTTATCGAAACTCTTTGTCATGCAGAAATTTCAAAACTTTAACCATTATTATCTTTGAAACAGTTAGGTTTATGAAAAAAATCACAAGAATAAAATCGTCTTAAAATTACTTTTTCGACCAGAATACATCATAAAATACAGGGTGTTCCGTAAGAAAAATCAAAGTTGGCGGCCATATTGAAAAAATGGCGGCTAAAATAATTTTTTTGACTTGACTACAATTTTTTAAATAAAAAATTCAAGGCACTTACCATTTAACTTTTTTTGATATCTCTTATAGTTTTCGAATAAAACGGCTGGCACACTTATATCAATCACCCTGTATACCGGGTGTCCAAAACCACCCGTACACCCCTTTCAAAACGATGGAAACCTTTTCTTACAAACAAAAAATAATACAGAACTAGCTAAGTTGGGCACGGTCTACCAAATGGTGATAATTTCAAATCCAAAATCACATGGGAAGTGGCTTTTTTAGACCGGAAGTTGACTTTTTTAAAGTAAACTACCAATTTTGATTACAGAATCGGATTCTACGTTGAAAAACACATAACTTTTGTCTAAAACATTTTTAGAAAAAAATTGTTTTCTACCTCTAATCCCCCATTAAAGTCAATAATTTTTGGTCATTCATGTGTCAAAGTTACTCGAAACAATAATAGAGAAAAACAAATAACAAAGATTACATAAAGACATATGATGAATAGAATCAGCTGTTTATTTTAAACACCTTAGCAATTGATTAACAGCTGGTCTACACATTGCTTAGTTAAATTTCTTTTATAATTTATTTTTACATTTGACCCCTTAAATGTAAAAACAAATGATTTATTTTTAAAATAAAATGAAACTAAGCAATGTGTAGACCAGCTGTTAATCAATTGCTAAGGTGTTTACAATGAACAGCTGATTCTATTCATCATATGTCTTTATGTAATCTTTGTTATTTGTTTTTCTCTATTATTGTTTCGAGTAACTTTGACACATGAATGACCAAAAATTATTGACTTTAATGGGGGATTAGAGGTAGAAAACAATTTTTTTCCAAAATTTTTTTAGACAAAAGTTATGTGTTTTTCAACGTAGAATCCGATTGTGTAATCAAAATTGGTAGTTTACATTTAAAAAAGTCAACTTCCGGTCTGAAAAAGCCACTTCCTGTGTGATTTTGGATTTGAAATTATCACCATTTGGTAGACCGTGCCCAATTTAGCTAGTTCTGTATTATTTTTTGTTTGTAAGAAAAGGTTTCCATCGTTTTGAAAGGGGTGTACGGGTGGTTTTGGACACCCGGTATATACCATTTACATTTCATTGCCTATAGTTTAGGTTTCATGTTTAAAAAATCCTCAATCATAAAATTTGTAAGTTATCTTACACAGTTTAGTATTTTGATTTATGTTATTGTTTTGTGGTAAAAAAAATCATACTTAAAAAATACGTTTGGCTATCACAGTAATCTTGTAAGGTTGGGTTTGTACCATAGATACTTTTTACAAATAAAAATTTATAAACAAGAAAGTCACATGGGTTAAGTTGAATCTATTCAACGATATTTCTCTCTGTATATATACATACGTTTCTGAAACCATTCAACTTTCTTTCAAAACATTACATCTTGGATTGTCTGTAATTGAATAATGCCAATAAGTAACTAATGCCAAACATGATTTTCTTAACAGGACGGTTTGAAGAGACGAATGGATAAACTGAAGAACTCAATCGAAGAGGCTAGTCTCGCCGTAGACAAAGAGAGAGAGAAGAATGTCAGTCTGTTACATCTCATCTTTCCTCCAGACATCGCCAAACGTCTTTGGCTAGGTAAATAACCCGACTCCAGCATGATTATTTCTAAGTAGTAGTTGTTTTAAGGGTATGTAGCGTGTATCGTTAGCTACAGTGATAAACCATTATAGTCAGACAATTGAGTTTTATTGAGTGGAGCGAAGCGAAGCTCTTTGGGATCGAATATAATTCTACCTGTTTAACACTATCACTCAATAACGGCTGAACATATTTTAATCAAACTTACTAATGTTGTTTCAACAAATGTTTGAAAGGTTTGAGACTAAAAAAAATCAATTTTTGAAAATGGCTATATAATTTAAAAGTAATTTAATTTTTTTTTACTTTAACATTGGCCTTATGGGTTGCCATGAGGGTTACAAAATCAGAGTAAATGTAAACAAAGAATCATAGCATTAGCTTAAAATCAAGGCAATATTACCTAAACACAGTACAATAGAAAAAAAATTCTGAAGATGACCAATGACTAAATAATGTAAAAAAAGTATTACATGCCATTTGGAAACTACCACTGATCGAATAGGTACAGTATTTTACAATTTTTTTTTAAGTAAACAAAATGAGGTAATAACACATAATATTTACCTTATGTGATTGGGAATTAAAATAAATATATGAATCAGCAGTTTTAAATAAATAGGTATTCTCAAACAAAATGTTTATAGGCTATTATGAACATGTGGTCTTATTAACTTTTAACAGTGCAAGTAAACGGCTTACACTACTGTGACATTTAAACCTTATTTAATGTTTGTTTAATCTGGAAACGTTTGAGTGTGAAAATGTCGATTAAATATAGCCAAAAGTTTTTAATAGCAAACAGCCTGATACCTGTAGAAAACGAAGATGAGTCCGAAACGCACGAACCACTACTTCTGGCAAAGTTTGAGAGAATTGAATGTAGAACACTAGCTTAAAACCGATGCTTTTAAAATGTGAAATGTTCAAAATTTTAGAAAACAGACCTTATAAGGTATGGTGAAAGCTATTCGTGAAATTCTCTTAAAGCAGGCAAGTCTTTACAAAATTACATCTACTAATCATATGGATCCATAAAGGATTATTTCTGCCTGAATTCAAAAAAATCTAGCCAAGATTGAGAAAATGTTGATTAGGTCAGGTTTTACCAAAACTGTGTGTTCACCAACTGACATTAGCAAGCAAATATAGAAAAAGGCGATACAAAGGATATGTATGGAATGTGTACATCTTTACTTATGAAACTTGTTATGGATGCTGATAGTTCTGAGAAAAACGGATAAGTTAAATTAATGAAATAATTGTATTATATCTATAAACGTTGTTTTGATTTATTAAAAAGCAAGAAATGTGATCGCTCCGCTCAACTGCCTTTCACTGCTATGAAAGCAATCCTAGTTTACCCTGTACTACAGTCAAACCATCCTGGATAGTTGCAATGAATACAGCTGATTCGTATCCATATGTAACAGAAGTCAGATTTGCTTTTGACCCATAACAATAAATTGTTGAACCGTATGATACACTCGTAAGTTAGGAACTTCTATATTCACTGCAAATGCACGTTATCGTTTCACTGATGCATAGGGAAATAAACCCTAAGAACAATTTAGAATATTTTCCATACTGAAATACAATATTGTTTTTGTAATAATCAAGGCATAGTTTCATAACCATAAGAAGTAACTCAAATTAATATGTCTTTATTATTAATCATTAATACTTGGAAAAAAAAATAAATTTATATCACATAGCACGGTGGCGGACAAGTTCTTGAGAATATTTTTAATGTCTGTATGAGGTTTTATGCAATAAGGATTACGACATTAAGACATTCAAAATGTATCATTGTGGAGCAAACGGCTTTAAGATTTCTTCTGAATGTCACAAGGGAAAAATTATGTTCAGAAATATATTCGTTTGACAGACAATTTAATTTATTTATAAATAAAGTACTATTTATCAAATAGTATTTATCTTTTTATCTAAATTCTTAATTGAAACACGCTCTTTACGCTTAAATAGTTTGAACACTAAAAATAATAATGTTCAGATTACATCATCAATTATTCAGAACGTTGAGATACCAATCAATACTTAACTACAAAGACAAGGTTAAATTGTTGTCTGCTAGATATCATTAACAGGTGACTAACTCACCATGTCCATATCACTATTACCTATTGACATATCGTCTGCTAGATACCATTGACATGTTATTAACAATTATGGCTATCGTCCATTGACATATCCCATGTCCAAAACATTAATAACTGGTATCACCAATTTCGTTAAGACCACCAAGGCCTATGGCATATAGTCTTATCGATATAATTGATATGTGATTAACAATTATGTCCAAAGCACTACAACCTATTGGCAAGTTTTAAGTATTTTAATGACAGGTGATTGGTATATTGTCTTTTAGACATATTGACTAACAAACTACATATAGTTTGTGTGTCATAACCAAGAACCAGTTCCCTTATGACTGGTGATCAATAATGAGGCCAATATCACTAGAACCTGTTGACATACACACAACACTTCAAGTTATAAAAGTTGTGATACTATTGCAAATACCTGTTACGGGCAACACTACTCCAAATACATGAGCTGTCTCAATTAACTTTAGAAAGTTATGATTAAAAAAAAAATAGAGTTTTTGAGAGTGGGGATGAATTGATTTAATTACATAATCTTTTGCGAGATAATTGCCTTTATAAATGTTTAATATCCTCTATTAAGCTAAAATACATTCTTAATCAAACAATAAGGGGTTAGGAAAAGCTTAAGTTTTTAAAGTAATTAATTATATTAGCATCACATTATTTTTATCTCTTTTAACTTTTGAGAATACTTAAGTATTGTACACTCAAATTTGTGTACCAATATCCGGAGAAGGCCTACAATTTTATTTAGTAACGTACCATTTGTGTATTTCTACAATAAAGGAAAATGGTGGGTGACCGATGCTTCTAGGTGTCGAGATTGCTTCGGCAAAAAACTAAAAAAAAAAAACAAACAAACCCAACAAGCAATAAAAGCAAATGGAATCCTAACATACCTCATATAGAAATGAGTTCTGAAAATGAAACAAATTATTCGTATACACGAAACCCTCGGTGTACTAATGTGTTAATTATTAGCTAATCAGCGGTTAATGGGCGATGCTCTAATTGAAAGGCCAGCGGCTGTCCATTATTACACCTGGCAACGTGATTGCTGTGTCGCTTTAAACCACCAAAGCTCACAGCTGGTTGGCAGATTCACCATACATTCACCCGTTGTCAAGGTGCGAGATTCGTGATATCAATACAGAAAAGATACCACAAAACTAGTTATGTGTGTATCACTGGATGAGATTATAATACAAACCTTGATAATAGTTTCTTCAAACTCTACTACTACAATTGTTATCAAGCGACAGATAAACCGAAAATGGTAATTTGTTTGAAACGACACGACGCGAAATCACAATATCTACTTGAACCGCAGTTTTTGCAACAACAATAGACTCATAGTTAGATATACCGCAAATGGAGATGTGGATATAATATTACGAGATAACCCTTATTTATTTTCATTATTACTGGTGAAACTCACTATGATATGCTACACTTGATAATAGTTATTTAAAACATCACTATATAACTGTAGTCAAACGTCAGACATTCCGTAAATATGCAGTCACAATGCGAAAATATTCTTTACTTATGTTTATGTACGCCAATGTTTTTTTTCTTTTTTTTACAAGGAAGCGGCCCAACCCCTTGTGATAAATTAAAATTTTCGTATAAGTATAGCTTGTTATGCGTCACGGTCGTAGATCGACGATAGATAAACTATAAACAAACTTGTATTTGCCACAGCAAGGCTCTACAACCATGGTTACTGCCTCAGTTTGTTAGAACACCAAAAATACAAGCGTAACAGAGCGACAGATACACCACAACCATCCATCGTTGTCAGAGTGCGAGATTGCAACAACCACTTAAACCACAGATTGTTTCAACACCACAAATATACTTGTAAAGGAACAGATTTATGTGTATTGGAGATCTCAATAGAGGATTGCAACTATGTAACAACAAATTAAAGTATCGTATGTATTTGCATGGATGGGGCCACATGTCCCTTTCTTACATTTGAACTGCACTTAATCTTCTTTTGTTCATAGGCCCGAAAAAAGCAAATCAAGTTTAAAATTGTGAATCACCAAAAAAGTTAAAACTTATTTAGATATCTGATTACTTTTACACATCGTTACAATATTAGTTAGTCGATTTCTAACTTATATTATTGAGAAGTATCCATTGTTGAACAGTGGTTTTTTTAGAGAAATCCTTTCGAAAAAATGCCAAACCACCACTTGTGGACAGTTGAATTATCACAGTCCACATAAAATATAGAATTCCATTTCACCGTTTACGCATTGCAGCCAGTTTTGATTTTCTATATTTCACAGAACATTCCCTCCTATTCTGGTTGGCTTATATTGTTAGCGGCGGCCATAATAGCATTCTGTAACACCTGGACCACATAATCACTCCGCTTATGTCACTCTAGCCACCACATAATACGCTCCAGCCACAACACTATAGAGGAGATTATGTCAATAGCCCTATAAAATTGTTACATATTTACTCGCTGCAGATATACAGGGTTAGTAAAAAGTGTGGAGACCCCCTGTTACTTTTTTAACGGCCCACACTAGAAAAACTAAACTCAGCACACCTTTATGACATGTTATGAAGTACTTTTTGGGCATAACCGCCACTTAGTGTACATTCCCAAAGTGGGGGATTTTGGGAAAAACTCAAAAGTTTCAAATAGAAAGACCCATCGAGTGACCCCTCATTTTGAAGGTCATGGTAAAAGAAGACCAACGACGCTAACTAGAGGTATATATCCCAATCCAGTAACAAATAGAAGCTGGTTGAAATCTTTATAAATAAGAAATAACTTGCAATTTTATATTCAATTGGCTGCCATATTTTACTGTGTTAAGATAGAGACCTCTAGTTTGCGTTGTTAGTGTTATTTTATTATTACCTTTAAAATAAGGGGTCACTCGATGGGGGTTGTCGTTTAAAATTTTTGAGTTTCCCAAAAATCCCCATTTTGGGTTTGGGAACCAAGTGGCTATTAGGCTTAAAAAGTACTTCATAACATGCCAAAAAGGTGGGTAGAGTTTAGTTTTCCTAGTGTGAGCCATTACCAAATTTACAGGGGGTCTCCAGACTTAGAAAGCTGTAAGTTAAATTTAACTTCTGAGAATTTCAATTGGCTGCAATTTTTTAATGGATTGAGATAGAGACCTCTAGTTTGCGTTGTTGGTTAGGACCTTCCAAATGAGGGGTCACTCGATGGGTCTTTCCATTTGAAATATTTGAGTTTCCCCCAAAATCCCCCATTTTGGGGATGTACACCAAGTGGCGGTTATGCCCAAAAAGTACTTCATATCATGCCATAAAGGTGTGCCGAGTTTAGTTTTTCTAGTATGGGCCGTTAAAAAAAATTACAGGGGGTCTCCACACTTTTTCTAACCCTGTATATTTAGCACATGCTTCTAACGTAAATTACAATAATGTAATATACTTTTATGCGCATTGATATGTGTAAATCTGATACATAATTATGTCTGTTACGGCAGGAGCATAAAAGTATAGAAGGGAGATCCCGCCACATTTTCCTCGACAGCAGTAAAACAGCGGGATAAGGTTATATGGCTAATAAACTCCTTGCTGTGTCAGTGAAGCTATGTACATAACGAGTTATAGCTCCTGCTCACCGTCATCATCTGAGCTTAGCAATTTAGTAAACACAACCTCAGAAAACATGTTGTCAAGGCCTACGGAGACCTTTCCGTCTCCACATTAAAAACATTAGTCGTAGGTAGCCTACATTTATCATAGCTCATAGCTCCGAAGTCAAGTCAGAAAATATAAATTCTTTCTTAATTCGTCGGGTTGAAATTTCAAAGCACATTATTACACAGCATGTTATACTTTTATTCATTTAGATTATGTTCTGGCTGGTGATACACTCCAGATATTGTTGCCAGGAGAGATAACATGGAGAGGAGATATGCATAGCCGGTTGAACATACCTAGTTTATTGCCAATACCTCTGTTAAATATACCCCCAACAATATACTGCTGTGGACATAAACACAGTTTGCTGAATACACAAAGCATATTGCCAATATCTCTTCATTCGTCCTAAGAAGGAATTCATTGTAGTTTTGATAATATAATATACGCTCATCTGTATTAAGTAATGGTAATGCAACCGGGGTTGAAGATTAGAGCTATTGACTTTCGCAAGCTAGAACACCTTCGAGCTTACAATCTTTAAGTTGTTACCTTCCAAGACATAAATAGGTAAGAAATCTAATTAGAAAAAACATAATTTAGATGTGTTTCAATTTTTGAAAACATGAGTTGATTGAGGCTAAAATGTCCAAACCCCTATCAACCCTCTCCCCGTGGTTTTATCGGGCACGTTTGTAAATTATAGTAGATGTTAATATAAACATTTATCCAAGAGCAATACGTTTTTAGAATTTTAATATTTTTATAGTAACATGTACTGTATACAGGGGATCCTGTAAGTAATTACAAACAATTTAGTAATAGGTCAAAAAATAAAACGGAAGTAAAGCATAAACATGTTTAAAAAAAATGCCTTATTAACGAGATATCCACCATTTTGATTTTTGTGTTTTAAACTGATATATCAAAAACTGTTTTAGATATTTTTGTGAAATTTGGTATGCAATTTTATTAAGCCATAATCTAAAAAAAAAAACAATAATATAAAAACATATTATTCGTTTGAAAATGTTGGACGATTCAATTTATATAACTTTCCAAAAACTGGTTAGTTAAAATAAAAAGACAAAAACACTGACATTTGGCATTTTAAATTCTCTATTAAACATCACCAAGTTCAAAAACATCGAATAACTGATTGCTATGAATCTAGTGTTTTTACTTGTTCAGGCCAAGCAGTAAGGGTTCGCCTAATTTTGGGCCAAAATGGTGTGAATTTCTTTGTTATTTACTATTTGTCAATTTCAAAATTGGTATCGTTTGATAGGGAATGTTGTATGCTAGATAATATTGTACTTGACATTTTTAATAAAATCAGCCATTTTTAAGTAATTTTTGTAAAAAAAATTGAAATCTCCGACATTTTGAAACAAATATGTTTTAAAATGTTTACTCTTCCTAGAATAAATTAGGGTTTGATAAAATTTTATACAAAATTTTATAAAAGTATATTAAATAGTTTTAAACGTGTATTTAAACAAAACAAAACAATATAGGAGACATCTCCCTAACAAGGAATTTTGGGGAAAGTATTATTCTTTATTTTTTTCCTATTTTGACCCATTAAACCTGTAACTTAATCATTTGCACTTACTTACGGAACACCCTGTGTATCAGTAATATTTAACTCCAGTAGGCCCCCATTGGAATATTCGAATAAATAAAATCTGTATTATTGTAATCACTTTGTGATGTAATTTTCTGTCTACAGGTGAGACTATAGAGGCCAAACACCACGAGAATGTGACGATGCTGTTCAGTGACATTGTAGGCTTCACCTCCATATGTTCCACGGCAACACCGTTCATGGTCATATCTATGCTGGAGAATCTATACAATCAGTTCGATCTTTTCTGTGGCCAGCTTGATGTTTATAAGGTAAAAGTAATTTAATTAACGTGAAAAAGGAAAAGTTAAATTTCTTGTGAATTTTTACTGAAACTTTGAGAGGAGTCAATTTACGACTTATTAGTTCCAAACTGGTAACGACTTCCTCCTTGTTGTGTTAATTATCAACGTAAAAACTTGTTACGTTTCATTTCTAGTTTCGCAGAGAAAACTTTCAAACAATATTGCGATTGAGATAGAAGCAGTTCTTTGGAAAACGAGTACTATAATTATGTTAAATAAATAAGTATGTTGTGACCTGTTAAAAGTAACTTTATGTTAAATCTAAATCAATATCAAATTTAAGAAAATTAAAATAGAATTAAGTGTAAATATCTGAAAATGGAGCGTAAAAAAGCAAAGTTTTTTTTATTATTTTGTTCCTTTTAATTTTGTGGGAAGAAAAGATCTGATAAAATATGCTTTGATCTGAAAATTTATGTTTAGACAGTTTCGTCGGATTAATTTATATTATATTTACGTGTGAAAATCAATTTGCAGGGTAAAATATTTAAGAAAAAGTTATTTAAGATACGGTACATTTATCAGACACTCAAAGCTTTATAGTCTCTTTGTTTATGTCGTCCAAGACGACTTTGAATTTGATACAATCATTTTCTATGCTCATTGAGATAAACTAAAGTGAAATTGTCAAGTTAAATATTCACTAAAACAACATTAATCGAGGTGCAAGCCAAACTGCGTGTGACTAACTGGAAATGTTGGATGTGTGAAACGACTTGTGTACTTTTCCCACAGTTTAACACCTCAGATCAGACCCCGCCACCGTCCACCTTCAATTTCACAATAAGACTGGCTGCACACGGATCCAGCATTTCACCCGAAGCAAAATGTGTCACAACAATTTGCTTGAAACGTTTGACTTATTTTCTCCTCCAGCATGCGAGAGGTTCAAGCACGACGCACGATTTTGTTTCAAGACACAGATTATACTGAACATTTTTTTATAATATTGTTTATCTAAAGTAGTGTCATTGGCTATTGTAGTGTTTTAACATGTGCGACGAGGAAATCAACGTACCTATTGCTATATGAAGGTTTTTGCAAATGCTGGACTCAAAAGGAAGAAAACATTGGGTACACCCAGAGGATAGACATCAAGTCTTTTCTCTCAGAACTTAAATCTGATCCAGGGAAATTTTACAATTATTGCAGAATGAGTGGGAAAAGTTTCGTTGGAACTCGTCGGAGAGAAAATTTCCAAACAGTCCACTAATTGGAGATGCAACATCTCTGCTTAAGAACGACTTCTAATGACTTTAAATGTGTCAATTTGTAATTACGATTTTAAAACTGTAGGTTATGTAAAATTTGCACGTATACCAACGTATAAAATGTGTCGTAGAGACCAACGACACTCGATGGACATTTTAAGCATTGTAAATAGCTTCAAAATAACTTTATAATTCAATTTTGTATAATTGTTATTAGTGTTTAGTTGCGATAGGATTTTATTTTAATTTTTCTAAACACCGTAAGTGTTATCTTTAGCAATTAATTGATATTTTAGATAATACCGTGATGTTAATAAAATAATGAGCTGAGTAGCCTTGGTAATTTCTTAAACTTTTACTAGCATACAGTACTCATTTTCTTTGCATGGAATATATGAATATTAGAAGTGGTAGAATACGAAATAAAACAACAATATTATTCAATAGAAATTCATACGTTAATTAATTGTTAATGCAACATTATAATGAAACTTCAAAAAACGTTTTTCAAACAATCGTTATTTTATATTTAAACCACGAATCGTCATTTGCTTTTTCGTATTATTACTACATTTTTTGCCAGTGTGATGATGAACGACGTTTTCGTCATATTGCAACATTATTTAACAAACTAAGTTAGCAAAATAAAATACTATCTACTACCAACCTGTTTTTAATTTTCCTAACGCATACAAGCATATGTTTAGTAATTGATTCAAGCAATTGGTATAGTACGATTGTGTTTGTGTAAATTATACCACCGATATGTCAAACTATTTTATTGAAAATAATGCGTCCGTTGGTGTAGTAGAAGATGAAGCACTACTTGACTAGCGACTACAGCAACAGTCCCCTCCCTCAGCTGCCACATCTGTTTGTGTTCAAACCATATTGCTGGTTGTAATTTTTGGATTTCCAATGTAGTGCAGCAAAAGCTCATAGCGTCAGCCAAATACCACTTCTTCTTCTTCTTTCAAGTTACGCAGATATCTCGTTTATGAGTACTTCAGGACGTGCCACTTGGTCTTGCATTCATTACGTAAAACAAAACGACAAGAATAAGTTAAAACTGTTTGTATGCTAATGATATTGGATATTTTCAGGTCTCTGACTAGCCCTATCACTAGGTAGGTTCTAATAAGTCCATTACAATCTTCGTGTTGGAGCAACGACTGTTGAAAAATAGTAGTTGAAACATGTGCTTATATTTGGGAAGTATTGCCGCCTTTGTATATTATTACTGAGCTTACACCTAAAAATGGACATCGGTAGCTGAACAATTGGAATTTTCCAAACAGCTGTGGCGCAGTGGATGGGAACATATAAGAATAGAGGGACCATGGAATAGTGGATAAGTGTACTATGATTAAGAAATATCGTGCTACAAGCAGTGGTATATGCTGGCTGAAAGGAACTATTTGATAGATGACCCTGAAGCACCGGTTAGAAACAATGAAGCTGGTGTTTATCTCTCTTGAAGCTTTGATCAGCGATTCACTGACAAGAGCTTAAACCTCCCTGTACACAAACAAAAACGTCCTTTTTCCTTACGATTTTGTAGCTGATTACGCCTAAGGTTTGGCTATCAATATGATGAAGCTATTTACAAGATCAGGACTTCTAAGTATTGGTAGTAAAATATACAATTACAAGTTATCTAGAGCTCGAAGGATAGTAGAATGGGCATTATGCATGATGGTTGAATAATTCAGAGATCTTGAACAAGCAACGCTCGTCCATCCAGATGTCACAAAACAAATTGTATTAGCGTGTTGTGTGTTTCACAAGTAATTTCATAAGGAAAGAGGAAGGAAAACTAGACTAACTTCACGAGGAAATTTTGCATATTGTTGGGGTTGATGGCTAGGGAGGTAGATAGCTTGAAAAGAACCATAGCTGACTGGAATATGAGCCTCAAACGCAGACTACAAAGTTTGAGAAAAATATCCTCAGATTTATAAAAGCCCTCCCTATATTATAGGAGGTGCCGTCCCTGCGGGCGCCTCGCTACATTTGCTTGATGAGTGTGCGGGTTGCCTACATGGAGTGCTTTATCCAGAGAAACATTTTACCTCGCAACACTTGCTTCAGGTGAAACGCTTCATCAGAGTGCGGCCGATTTTAATCACCTGATTCATCAGACGTACATTTTGCTTAATGCATTGTAATCAGTTTTAAAGTTAAATATTTATATTCCAGGTTGAGACCATAGGAGACGCGTATTGTGTAGCGGCGGGTCTACACAAGGAGTCTAAGACACACGCTCAACAGACTTCCTGGATGGCCATCATGATGATCAATACTTGTCCTAAGCATCTAACACACCAAGGCGTTCCTATCAAGGTGAGTCTTTATAACGTTCCACCATTCATTTTGTGTTTAGATCTTCGATCATATTTCACAAGTTCACGTTTTCTAGCAAATTTGTGTTACGGATTTTCCAACTTACACATGAACACTTGTTCTCTGTCCCACAGATGCGGATTGGTCTGCACTCCGGTACAGTTTTGGCGGGAATTGTCGGTGTCAAGATGCCGCGTTATTGTTTGTTTGGCCACAACGTCACCATAGCCAACAAGATGGAGTCGCACAGCGAGGAAATGAGAATCAACATCAGTCCTACTACATATGAGTAAGTATGAGTATTCATTGGATGCTGCAAGTAGGATGCCCTTCTCCATGTTAAATCTGTAACCTGGTTTGATATATGTCTGATGGCTGTTTATGTTTCAATTCGCTGATTTATACTCAATTTTGATGTATCTTTGGGAACTTTTTACAATGTGTGTGAAATGATTAGGGAATTTTAGAGAGGAGAGAATAGTTTTAGGCTTGATGTATAATGGAAAAGGATAGAGATTTACCTTGAATAGTTATATCTTTCTAATCTTGATTCTAGTCTTGAGCTTAATAGTGTTGAAGAAAGAGAAAATCCTTTATAACTTTTAAGATATACTTACATAATCTAGAGAAAATCACCATTAAATAAAAGTAAAAAGATTGAGGACAAAACTTAGATGTATTTCTAGACCATTTTTCACAATAATAATAATCAAAACAACAATAATCACATGTAGTAAAAAATTGTAAACCCCAAAAACATGTGTTGGAGACAGACTAAAATAAAACTAACCATAGAATACTAAACATGCCGGGCCCCTTGAACCGCAGGTTCAATGAATTAATTTAACAAGCGAGTACAGAAACAGTAATTAAAAGAGAAAGTTAAAGAAACAAAAGGGGCTGAACTGTAATAAAATTTAGTCTTCAAGTACAGGCAGTGGGAAAACCTTGATTGCCGGTCTAGTGAGAAGTCCATTCTTCGTATGCACAGTCACAACTCTTGTAATGTTATCTGAACCAGGGTGTGTTTCAACAAATCTAGCCAGTGGCCAACACATTGGAGGTGTAAGGATGTCTTGAATCACAACAAGATGAAGGTAGTCTCCATCGATGCCATCTTTGGAGTTTATTCATCGTATCAGGTGTACTATGCAGAAAGTATCCAGGTATTGGTGTAGATAGGTCTGATGGATCTTCTGAAAGAGGAGTTACAAGACGAGGTTTCTGGATTGCTTCTTTGTAATAAGGTTGAGTTTTAAATTTCTCTTCTGGTATAAATAATCTTGTTTTGGTGTTGTTACTAGAGTTGCCGAGATGATGGTGATTAGGTTTGAATGGCATTCTAACACAGTATCTAGCAGAGGGTTCTCTAGATTGTGTTTTCACTAAATGTTTTTTTATTTGAAACTTTATATTCGGTCTGTCTGGGAGGTTCTTCATGCTGCCAATACCGTTGTAAAGAGGAATGAAGATCAAATTCAGAGACATTTAACATAGTTGTGAGGCGAGAAGAATCTTTGTTATATTTAGAATTACTCTCACATGGAGCATGTCCCATGAGAGTGTAACCAAACACTGTGTTCATTACAAATGGTAGGTTAGGCCCAAGTTGTCGTTTCTCTCCTGTGAAAATGAATGGGAATAAACCCCCACCTAGTAAAACGTCAACAGGCCCAGGGCGGTGGAAAGTAGGGTCAGCTAGGGTATACGGTTTCACTATTTCCAATAAATTTGGATCAAGAGGAGATCTTGGCATGTCCGAGGTAATCTTATCCAAAATCAACATTGGATGATTTTCTGAAACTTTGTTCCCACTTACTGTTTCGATGTCCACATAGCCCATTCCCTTTGGGGATGTAAGAGACTGATTGATTCCATTAACACGAAGAGTTGACTTTTGACGTTTAATTCCCAACAGTTGGGCTGCTCTTTCTGTTATGAAATCACATTGACTGCACGAGTCGATTAGAGCTCTGAAGACATGAGCAACACCTTGCCTAGACACCAACTTTACCAATACAGTTGCTAATAAAACAGTGGTGTTCTTTTGAGGTCGAGAAAAATTTGTTGATACTCCAGCAAATTCATTTTGACTTTGAGATGAAGATAAACATGATACAGCATTTCTTGATGTGAGGTCTTTCGATGGTTCTAAATGTAACAGGGTGTGGTGATTTTTATGACATTTAAAACAAGAGTTTTTCGATTTGCAGATACTGACTTTGTGATTTCCAAGACAAGAGAAACAACGTTGCTTGGATTTGATTAGTTCATACCTTTCTTGAGGAGATTTTTCTTTGAATAAAGTACAGGAATATACTTTGTGTCCAGGTTTAGAGCAAACGAAGCAAGGGAAATCAGTGGAGCTTTGTGTTGATGCAAGGGTAAATGGTCTGGGATGAGTCATTTCATTTTTGCGGTTGAAGTTGGACAAAGGTGGGATATTTGAGTGAGGTTTGACCCATTTACTACTATTGGGTGAGTGCATGGACACATCTTCAGCATGTGCACAATGATTTGACAGAAAAGTTATTACCTCATTGACTGAGGGCAGAGATTCAGGGTCATTTCTTGGAGATTCATATTTATTTAACAATTTTGAGTCTAGTTTTCGTAAAAGCATTGATGCTAAGAGAGGATTGTTTTCCACTACATCACAGCCTAATGCTGTTAGAGCTTGGGAATTTTCATTAAAAGAGTTTAGCAAGTTTCTGAGATCCTTAGTAGAGGAAAAACGAACACTAGGCAAATCAATGATTTAATTGATGTGGAGAGATGAAAGCCTTCGCACTGAATGGTAACGATCTCGCAACATGTTGTACGCGATGGTGTAGTTTGCTTCAGAGATGGGTAGGGATTTGACCAGATTGAGTGCTTCACCAGATAAAGTACTAAGTAGATATTGAAATTCAGCCACATTTGAGAGAGATGAATTTGAATGAATTGTGGTATCAAAGAGGTTGATGAAGGCTATCCAAGTTTGAGAGTCACCATTAAAGTTTTTTAATTCTATTTTCGGTAAGCGCACCACAGACATGTTAGAGTGTTCCCGTTCATTGAGATGAGAGGTAATAGATTGATTGCCATCATTGACTTTACCTTCCAAAAGATAAGCATTTATTTTACTTTCTATGCTGATACAAAGTTCATTTATTTCCTCCTGTCGATCAATTAGATCTTGTTCATCATAGTCACCAGGCAGAGTAGGCACGTCCAGTAATTTTCTAATGTGTTCATTAAATTCACAACGCTTTTCATTGACTTCACTTTTATAGAAATTAACCTTTTGTTGATCAACTAATTTAACATGATCATTTTCTGATATAGTGTCAATAAATGAAAGAATATTATTGAGACGAACTTTAATGAGGTTAGAAAATCTGACAAAGGTTTGATACTTCATTTTTTTGTATATTAAAGGAATGTACTAGTGAGCTGATTGAAGAAATGAAGTTGTAAAGGCAGAGATAGAAAGGGGTAGTAATATTGTTACTAAGGCAACAGAATCAAACATTCCAATTTGTCCATGTAAACATTAGTAGATTTTAAAGATTTATTTTGAATATCTTGATGAAATAACAAATAATAATGTACAATATTAGTAGTTTTGAATATCCATATTCTTGATTCTTTCATCCGAGGCTCGAAGGACCAATGAAATGATTAGGGAATTTTAGAGAGGAGAGAATAGTTTTAGGCTTGATGTATAATGGAAAAGGATAGAGATTTACCTTGAATAGTTATATCTTTCTAATCTTGATTCTAGTCTTGAGCTTAATAGTGTTGAAGAAAGAGAAAATCCTTTATAACTTTTAAGATATACTTACATAATCTAGAGAAAATCACCATTAAATAAAAGTAAAAAGATTGAGGACAAAACTTAGATGTATTTCTTGACCATTTTTCACAATAATAATAATCAAAACAACAATAATCACATGTAGTAAAAAATTGTAAACCCCAAAAACATGTGTTGGAGACAGACTAAAATAAAACTAACCATAGAATACTAAACAGTGTGATTCACTCTTTGGTTGTAATTTTAGAGAACGAGAAAAAACTAAAACATGAATAGTTATACTTGTTTTAGCTCGCAAAAAAAAATCACAAAAAAACAGTACTGGGCAGAAATTTACCTCAAGTCTGTCTGCACTTAGGTGATCCATAATGAAGAATTTATCAGGGGACATATTCACTTTTTGGTCACGGTTAATGCGCTATCGATTGACCAAATTACATTTTACCTGATGCATTTCCAAGCTATGTTTGTTGTTTGATCTATCAATTAAAAAGTCTTTGCTTTTCAGCTCTGCCTAAATCAAAATCATCTTATACATTTCAATAAACAGTTACATTAAATTAACACCTGCCCAACGCAACCTCCCTAGGCTCCGTTTTTAAAATTGCGGGTTACAATTTATCATAAATTGGTTGTAGTGTATATGACATTAATGACTATTCAAACCGCAAATTACAAACATTCCAATTTTGCTTTTTTCATTTCAGATGTCTTAAAGACTTGCCAGGATTTCACTTCGAGGCAAGGCCTAAATCATGTCTACCCGCTGAGTTTCCGCAAGACAACGAGGGAACTTGCTACTTCCTCAATCGCTACACTCACCCCTCCCTACCAGAGACCGCCCCTGTAGGGGAACATGTGACTGCTGGCATGGCCGAGGTCTTATCACAGTAGACTCTTACTATTGTGATAGAATAAAATAGAGAATCTGTCAAAATACCTTGCATTCTACAAATATCACCAATACACTAGTGGCTTGGGGAGCGAGCTGGGCTTGATGCAGACCGTGGGACTTGAATCCCCGAACTCACTGGTTCAAATCCTGCCAAATCACCAACGGATTTGATCCAAGTGATAATGCCGCAACCCCTAGATCTAGCCTGAAGTAATGTGAAAAACAATCCCGGGCTGGTGTCTATCTTCCTAGAACAAAAAACTACACTAGTTGTTTGGTTGTTTATCTAGTAATACGACTCTACTTCACAAACATTGTTTTCTGGTGCCAACTCTAATATTATTCTGTACTGAGGACTTAACTTCAATATTTCTTAAGGCTACTGGGTTGCCTACTGTCGAAGAATGTTGTTAATATTGTAATGCATTTTCTTAGATTATTGCTGTAATATACACAGTAACTTAAAAACTAGGACTTAATCTTAAAATTATCAACTTAAATATATATCAACTTATAAATTTATAACTTATTTATAAGCCCAAGAGGTAAATCTTTTCGTCTTATCCCCTTGACAAGGTTGACCCAAGTGAAAATACTTAAAGTTCCTATAGGTTGCAACATTTTCACCAACTTTCGTTTGGTGTCCAGTTTAGGTCTTAGTTTAGCTGCAAGTCTCGTATAACACCTAGTCTAATACTCACACTAGTTTAGTTTGAATAGATTTTCAACGGTAGTTTATTAAGTTTTAAACAAGTTTACTAAAATATTAATAATAGGGGTGGCATAAGACCCATGTGTAATATTTGTTAGAGTTAACACCGGACATTTTAAAACTTATCTTTTTGATGAGTAAACCATAATATTTTTATCAATTACTTAAAATTGTACTTCACGTATTTGATTAAGGAAACCTCAGTGTTTATGGCGGTTCATATTTTTCATAGAGTGTGAGACAGCATCTAATATCTAATCTTGGATAAGATAACTATTCAATTTAAAAAAAAAATTCAAGTTAAACAAATTTATAAATGTAACATAATTTTGTAAGTAATATTAATGAATTATTAATATTACACTACTGACATAAATACAGACTACGAAACACTAGGATGTTGGCGATAATGAATATAATTTGTACAAAGCCTGGAAGTGCTTGTCCAATATATGACATTACTATGGCAAAATATTTTACAAATATTTCTTTGTAATAAACCTACCTTTTTAAGAAATATATTTATGAGCAATAACAAACAACATTTCTACTTATATGGACCAATTATGTAAGTATTAATACAACACTAAGATTACGTACCAGAACCTATGAAGGTTCATTGGACTGTAGGTAATTAAATCGTTCATTACACGCAAGTATAGAAGTTCTATTGTTGTATAAATTAATCAAAAACATTTTAAGAAGCACACGTATACACGATCAAAACGCAAAGTTAATGTAGTATTATTTAAGACTTTTATAAGAAGTATGGTGTATCTTAATTATGTACATTTTAATATTTCCTCTTACAATTATACTATGTAATACATTAAGGGACCACGTCCATATGCAGGATAAGCTTTCACACCAGTTTCTTTGATACGATGGGAAAATACATTTTTCTCTCAAGATAATACACATTATACTGTAATACATTGTATAAAAAGCAACGATATTAATGTTTGAACATTTTATTTATCATAGTATGTATATTGTAAATTCATAAAAATTTAAAATAATTCGATCAAAATACTTAGAATTTGCGTAACCTTACTTGTTTCTTCAATCCTAATTTAAATATTTCTACACATCAATTTTTTTTAGTAAGTAAAATAAAATAAAAACTATTCATTTGCTCATCCTGGGCTGTAAAATAAAAAAAGTTTGTTTTAGTAGAAAGTAATCTCAAACCGAATTAGATTTTGTTGAACATTTTGTATGAAAATAAATCAAGTCACGCCAAAATGACATTTGTAACTTTTTATGTAAACATACTCTCTGAACGCAAAGCAAGTGTGTACCAATAATACGCCAAGGTTAGTTGTTTGAAACTTTTGCGTATATTTGGATGTTTTATACAATTAGGTTTTTGATAAAAAAAAGTAAATAGAATATGGATTGGTTTTATTTGTAAACGAAAACTGTAGTGTAAAATATGTAGAAGTTGAGGTGTCATGGTTTGGGATGTGGATTTTCCTGTGTTCGATTTTAATAACAAAGTATCATAGATTAAATGGTTCAAGTAATCACCTTCCATCTTAAGAAGGATCCATTATGGGCTTAGTTTGTATGCCACATTCATGCTTCCTAATCATGCTTTCTAGCAGCGAGTACAGAACAGTTCCCTTGGATAAATCGCGATTCAATGCCATTGTATAAGTTATAGCCTACTAAAAACATTTTTTAATTAAAATATTTGGAAAAAAAATATTTTAAGAGACTGCCGAGTCTGGGGACAAACGAATAACTCGGCTGATATATACGGATAAAAACAATTATACTTTGTTGGTAGTCATTTTATTTTAACTTTTCTAAAGCCTACATAACTCGAGATTATTTGTGTCAGTGTGATTTCAAAACTAATTAGAGTACTGTATAATAACATGCAACACAAACCGCCAAAATTACTTAACAATTTGCTTTGATTAGTTCCTTTTGTCATTGAGTGTGCCTTAAGTGGTCCAAGAGTAGGAGGTTAAACTGTCACAATTATTTCATAGACAAATGTAATATGCTTTCTCAGTGTAGAAAATCTGTTCATTAATTTCTGCTTTCCTCATTTTAAACTCTTTTGCTGTCTAAAAAAGTAAATCTCACATACCTTATTTATACTTAGACTATTACGATATTTTACTACGAATTTATGTTTCACTGAGTCCTTTCCTTTATTTATTTTGGTTACACAATAAGTTACCATACATGTTATTTTAACAATACATAGAATGAAATAGTCTACGAGGATTTATAAATACAATCAACATAACTATCCATGTATGTTTGCTATATTGTTAATTCTTCAACTTAAGATTCTCGAGAGCAAGATACGCTTAATAAGGTTGGCAAATTACCTATTGTTCTGTATGGAACCTTTATTACGTGTTAATTGTAAGAGTCAGTGTCAAAATAAGTGTAACTTCTCTTATTGAATGAAAGTCTTACAAGACGAAGACCAAAGCGACTATATTCTTGTACATAACCTTCGCCTGTAGCAAAAGGATGCCTTATGTACTATACTATACAAAGCTTTCTAATACTACTATAAGTACAAGGTTGTGACTGGTAGGCATTATGCCACAGATGTATTGTCTATTCAAGTTAGAGAATAAATGTAAACAAAAACATGTTGGCGCTTTATTATTTACCTATCAACCTTAGTCTAATAAGTGTTGCTATTCAAGCGGTTACAACAAGTAAACAAAATCGTGTGAAGGGCAATGTTTCAACCTTAATAATACGCACGTAAAATAAATGTACACGATGAGCTCTTGTATCTTCACATGTGATTGGAAAAAAATAGTATGTACATTATACATTACACATACTTCTCAATGTACAGTAATTCAACATCAATTAAACACAATTTACTGGAATGATCTAATGTTTATGCGGGGGTGAATAGTGTTGATGTTCAATTGAATTAAAGCTATTTTCTGTCCAATATTTCCTGAAATCTTTTAGTTTTAAGATCTGTCCCGAGTACCAGGATTCCCATAAAGCGGTAGAAAGATAACAATGTGAGAATAACGTCTCACGTGTGTACTATGCTTGATACAACGGGTAATGGCGACCGAACTCATTCTTACAAGACAGTTATTTGCTAATTGTCACAACGAGTATAACTTAGTTTTCTTTGTACCTATTGTATAAGCTGTCCCACATTTTATATTGTATCCTTTTCTCTAGTCAACTCACTGAAGTATGTCAATCCAGTATGAGACGCCGATACAAAGCTATCTCATTTCACAGTCCGTTTACGAAGAATAGGGTTTATTTTTAAGTCTCAGCCTTTAACTTGAATTGCTGAATTGCTTTTTCATACAGTAATTGAACACAATGGTGTAGATATATTATATCTCTCCATTCGCGAACTTACTTGTACAGTAATTGAACACAATGGTGAATATACATTACATCTCTCCGTATAAAGTCGTTGCATGGATAAAAGCTAGGAACACTTGTTAAAGTTCAAATAAGTCTAACCAATTATGACGTAATTATTAAATTTTTCCTCACAATCGAGGATCAATGCGATTTGGAATTAATGTGCACTATCAAACTTTGGAATTAACAATACATTGAAAATAAAAAGGAACCAATAGCTTTTAAAGGTTTGAATTTATTTCTATTTAGATTTATTATCGGAACTAGGATAATTCAATACCGACTTTTACAGGACTATTTAATAAAAATACAGTAGATGAATAATTACTTGAAAATTTGCTGTGGAAAATGTAGTTGGTTGTAGTAACTACAGGGTTTTACTAAACGTACGTTCTAAGTTTTCGTAACTGCATCATTCTATGTATTTATAATTTATAACCATGATTTATAATATAAACAATAAAATGAGGTGTTAACGAACTTTCATTCAACAACTCAACGTTTGCTTTTGCTGGGTCAGTTCTCATACTTAATAGTGGGTCGGTTCTCTCTAACTGTTAAAGTGGACGAGATTGACGTCTTTTGTATTTCCTCAGAGTGATAGCTATAACAATAGCTATAATAATAACATATGTTTATCAGTAAATGCATGAAAACTGCAAAAGGACTAAGATTATCTCCCAAATCAAAATGTTTTTGTTTGGATTAACAATAAACAGTTTTGGAAATAACATAAACGTAAATTAAAAATCCAAACAAATAAATAAATTTATAAATCGATAATACTACAAATGGATTATTACTATCGCTTTGTAAAGCTATGCGTTAAAACGAAACCTCCCTTGAGGATATGTGGGTCATTGGAAACACGCGAGGGAGAAATAAACCTTATCGACTGTTGGTCAAAGTGGAGTGAGGATAGTGTTGGAGCTCTGGTCTCTGGAAATGGCGACAATAACACGGCGAAATGTAACATCAACTATTGACAGTAATGGATCTCGAGGGATAGGAAAAGTATATTTTACCTGCCATTAATCTATACTTATATGAAATGTCACTTTATCCTAACCAAAAAAAGGGAATAACACTTGATATTAGTTATTTGTGCAACTAGTGAGAAAAGTGAGCAATTGACTCACTCGAGAGAAATCCTTACTCACGAGCCGTAGGCGAGTGAGGAATGGTTTCTCGAGTGAGGCAATTGTACTTTGAACTCGAGTTGCACATTATACTTTTCCTGCAGTGCTACAGTTACCATAAAACAAATAAATTTGTGAAGAAACATAACCTATTTTTACACAGAAGTGAACTTTTAATATAACATTTAATGTGAAGTGACAAATACAACAGTAAGGTAAATGCACCAGTAGCTGACAGTGCTCCAGAAGCTGACAGTTTGAGTTTCTTAACATTATAATGTGGTATCATAAAAATATTTACGCATGATTGCATTGTTAGAAGAACATATGTTTATTCTTGATTTGTTTACAAAAAAATCAGTGAAACTTAGCCCATACTCGCTGAATGGTGGTGGTTTGAAAGCGACCCTGTCTGTACACATCACATTTAGTCGATTCCCTTAATGAAATTGTTAAGAAGGTAAGTTTGGTTTTTTGTCATTTCGCTAAATTTTTTAAATAGTATTAATGATTAGGCTCATTATTTTTATCAATTATACCTTTGTTGACAATTTCATGATAAAATTGGGGTGTTAGGGGTTTTAGATTAAAAATTATATCAATGTCAGGCTTTGGTACACAAAAGCCATACAAGTTCCAATAGCTGACAGGGGATATTTGCTACTTGCACAATATTAAATTGGTTTTACCCATCGAAATTTGCAGGCTATTTATAATTTATGTGATCTCACATTTTTATAAAATGATTTTAATTTTTTAATTAATAAGCCAAATTATCTAAAAAAATTTATGTATGTTTTTAATATAAATAAAAAATATATATATTTTTTTATGTAAATATTTTTTATTTTAAAATATGTAAAATAAATTTTCTTGATAACGTTTTACATGATTTTATAATTTAATTATTAAGTTGGATTTTATTCGTCTTATAAATTATAAAACCCTTAGGTTTAGCATCTAGTACATGTATAGTTCCAGTGTCAGCTACTGGGACAACTGACTGTCAGCTACTAGTACAAGCGTTTTTTTCACTGTCAGCCACTGGAACACGTACAAAGGTTGAATTAAGTTTAAAAATGTTATAAAATATATTTAAAAAAACCTTTTTTGTATGACAAATTTGAAAACTACACTAAATTTAGAATCACATAAAATCCGTAATATCTCTTTAGTTACTATTTATTCAAAACCACGGATTATTAAGTGCGTATAGTTTCTTATACTGTCAGCTACTGGTGCGTTTACCTTACAACAGCTGACCAGCTGATTTACAGCCAGTGCTGCCAACGTATTTCGCGCGCATACGACGTTGCCTGCATGTTACCACAGAAAACGTAGTACGTTTTCTGTGATGTTACGCGCTCACTATTTCGTGCCTTCACGCTGCAAATCTGGAGTGAGACAAAGTAATTAGAGTGAGACAATGTTAACATTTGCTCACTGATGAGCGAATTGGCCACTTTGCTTTCTCAAATCAGTGAGAGAACATGTACATTGTTAGGTAACTGTAGGAAAAATTTATTATCCAAATTTTAACCGTGCGTTATCTTGTTTCGGTATCAACCTGGGTTTCTGCTGGACTGCTTCCTGTTCAGTGTTAGAGTATCAGTATAAAAGGCCTTTTTTCAATAACTCTTTAATTCCCTTCTTGCGATGCACGGTTTGAGCTACCTTTTATTAGGTAAAAGTATGATTCAATTGACTCATGAGCTATGTATAAATAGACATTGACTCACAATCTTAATTTAGCATTTTGATTGTTTGTGTTAATCAACATTTCTGATATTTATTGAGGCCCGATAGGGTAGGTAAACAGTCTAACTTTAACTCATTAGTTTTCCGAAGGATTAATACAAAGAAGTAGTTAATCAATAAAATAACTTGTGTCATTTAATTGCCTCAGCATATTATATTGTTTAATTTTTTTATTTTGTAATATGTAAGTATGAAATTAACTTTAGTTATAACCATAAATATTTCGTTGCTCAGTGAGGTATAAACATAGTGTATCAGTGATACAGTTTGGTTTACATCAACATAAGATTTATGAGAGGCATGGACTCGAACTTTTCGATTGTTCTAGTCCACTGATTTTACCACTGTTTAAACATGCTATTTCTATCGTCTATTTAAGAGTAAAGTGAGGATGATCCTAAATGAAAGGCTTGTGGTCGTCACGCGAAGTAGCTGTGAATGTAATGGAGTGGTAAATACGTTCACTAGGTCTCGTGTCCCTCTTCTAGCATATGAACACAAATATACTTAATAAATCAACTTTAAACCCTGTAACTACATGCTAATAGGACAAATTTTGTAAGGTTTACTTAATAAATAAAAATAGATTGTGAGAGGTAAGTGGGTCGGTTATCCTATTTATGTATTGACTGAAACCAGTAATTACTTGGTGATATAAATTTAATACAAGTTGAAACATTGACTTAAAAAGGTTTGCAGTAAGACAAAACAAGAGTACTTAAGAGGCAACAGTTTAGTACACATCCCATTCTTATGTCCGACACCAACTAAACAAAAGTAAATACAAACTAGGGGCTTGTAGGGGCAAAAGCCCCTAAAAAATCAAAATACATAAATTTTTTATCAACCTTCATTGGTCATTTATAAATAAGCACTGATTTTCTAGCATTATAATATAGTTTACAACACAAAATGTATACAATATATTATATACAGTAGATACATTTACATTTAAATGGTGGTTTGTAGGGACAATAGCCTCTAAAACAGTAAACTTTTTTATTTTGAAAATAATAAGCATAAAAAACAATTAAAATTTGGTTTAATTCAAGTTTTATTTACATGAATAGAAATCGCTACTTACTTATTGCATTTGATAATTAGTCAGAACCTCTGGATAAACTATGTTTTTTGTATATGAATTGTTTTCTGTATTGTTCTGTTCTCTTGTATTTGCCATATATACTCTGATTCCATCTGATGACTTGACTCTGCTAAATGCAACATATAACTGTCCGTGTGTAAAAACTGGTTTATCTAAGTAAACTCCAGCTTTCTGGAAGGTTTGGCCTTGTGCCTTATTGATAGTTATAGCAAAGGCAAGTCGTAAGGGAAAT